TTCCTCCAATTTATAGTGGTGACAATGAGGAACAGAACAGGAGTAGGGCTTCCCCAGGGGAGCAGATAATGGAAGAGAGCATGGGGAAATGATCCCTATTTTGGTGTCAGCCTGGCCATGGTCAGACAAGAGGCCAGATAGCATGATTTTTGCCTCTTCAATGGGTCTTGGAGAAAATCTACATGTTATGCATTGAATAGCCCTCCCCTCTATCCTGAGGAGCATGGCACTTGGGAAAATTACAGAATAGACACTCTGTTCACGTTTGCTTGGTTACTATTTTATAAAATTTATTTAAGAAATTTGTGGAAATTCATTAGTAGTTAAAATTAGTTGCTAAGCAAGTAAAAGAAAAAAACAGAAGAGATTCTTTTATTTACTGAGGGCCTATGGGGGATGCAAAGATAACAGAGTACAGTCCCTGCTTTCAAGGATCTCATTGTTCAGTAGTGGTGGAAAAGATGATAAAGAAATTCATAATTCAGAAGTTCTGCTTCTTACTAAGACAGAGTGGTATGGGATTTCCTCTCCCACATTAAACAATAAATGTAGACAAAATATTTGAGGAGCTGCTTTTAGGACCTGAACATAGTAGGCAACAGAACCAAAATCATTGAGGGAAGGGAAATACATGAGGTGAGCCTTATGTCTGCCCTGATTTCTGCTTGGGGGGATTTTCTGGATTGCACTGCAAAGAAGTGGAGTCTAAGAAATACATGGTGATCTCAGCAAGCCCAAGAGCATGGCTTGAAGTTGAAGGCTGCTGAGGGAGCTGTAATTTTGTGGGGAAGGCTGTTAAAGCAGAAGGAGCTGCCCAGAGAGGTGCCCCTAGAAGTCTGCATGGGGGTTCCCTGGGTCTTTGGATGAGGGATGAGTTGCACAGGCACATGGTAAGAGTCCATAAGCCTTAGTGGAGAGCAGCTGGGAGCCAAGCAGAACACTACAAGTTGCACATGCTTAGAGATGTTAGAGTTTGAGTTCAACTGGAATGCAGAACCTCACTGAACAACTTGGGTACTTAGATGATCCAGGAAGTCCACATACTCTAGGAGTAAGGACCATGTTCTAGAGGTGCCTGGGTAGCTCAGTTGGTTAAGCATCTGACTTCTGCTCAGATCATGATCTCAGGGCCCTGGGATCAAGCCCTGTGAGGGGCTCTGTGCTCAGTGGGGAGTCTGCTTGACCCTCTCCCTTTGCCCCTCCTCCTATTCATTCTCTCTCTTTCCTTCTCTCTCAAATAAATAAATAAAATCTTTTTTTTTTGAAAGATGGGAGACACAGAGAAAGAAGCAGAGATGTAGGCAGAGGGAGAAGCAGACTCCCTATGGGGAGCCTGATGTGGAACTTGATCCCAGGACTCCGGGATCATGACCTGAGCCAAAGGCAAGACGGTCAACCACTGAGCCACCAAGGTGTCCCAATAAATAAAGTCTTAAAAAACTAGTGCCTCAGTGGTCTATGGGATAATATCTAAATACTTATAATAGTAACTTATATAATACTTAAAAAATATATAAATGTATATATACTATATATACTTACGTATACACTATATATTCTTATATGTACTATATATACTTATATAATACTTATAGTAACCTGTATAATTATAGGTATTTAGATAATATCTAAAATATGTGTGATTGGAGTTTCAGAAGGTAAAGTGAAAGAGAATGGGCAGAAAAATATTTGAAGAAATAATGGCTTAAAAATCCCTATATTTTGTGAAAAATAGGCCCCTTATATATTCAAGACACTCATCAAACCTAGGCGGGATAAATACCAAGAGAACAACACCTCTTTACCTTACAGTCAAGCTGGTAAAAAAAACAAAAAACAAAAAACAAAGATAAAGGGAAAACTTCAAAGCAGGTAGAGACAAATCTGAGACAGTTTGAGCAACTGAAAATGGTTGCATTATAATTGATGGAATAAAATAAATATCCATGAATACTGCTATAAATAGATAATTGAAGTTTTAAAATGAGAGAGAAAGGGCAGCTTTTCTTTATTGTGGAACACCAACTAGTAGTGGCAGAAGAAAGAAAGGAAGGTAGAAATCACTATTGATCAAACACCATGTAACTGACTGCAGTTAAGAACCATTAATAGGTGCTAAAATTAGTGAAAGTCTGAAGAAAAACAGGATTTTTGTATAGAAGTGAAGTGTCTTCCATAAAATATTTATTAATTACAAAGAGAAAAATAGTAACTTTATAGTGAAGAAGTCTAATTGACACCACCTTTCCATGTGACCAAGGTCCTGGGATGGAGTCCCATATTGGGCTCCCTGCAGGGAGTCTCCCTCTCCTCTTGCTCCTGCCCCCCTGCTCATGTCTTCTCTCTCTCTTTCAAATAAATAAATAAAACCTTAAAAAAATAGAATCGTTCAATATGATCATGAGAAAACCTCAGGCAAACCCAAACTGGGGGACATACAAAATAACTGGCCTAATAATTGACACAAAAGTGTCAAGGTGAGGAGAAAAATAGACTGAGAAAGTGTCACAGATTGAAGATGACTAACGAGACATGATGACAACACAATATGGCATCCTCGGAGGAACCACTCAATTCTATGCCAGAAACCAGTTTTACCCTATATGCTAACTAGAATTTAAATAAAAAATTGAAATAATAAAACCAAACAAAAAGCCAACTAGAATTTAAATAAAAACTTGAAATTAAAAAAAAGTAAAAGAAAATCACTTGCCAAAAAAAAAAAAAAGACAGTACAAGATCCTTGATTGGCTCCTGGACTGGTAAGAGGACACTAGTAGGAAGATTGGCAAAAATCCAAATATTGTATCTAGATTAGTTAATAATACTGTATCAATATTAGTTTCCTGTGTCTGATAATTATGATTTGGTAATATAAGATGTTAACATTAGGGGAAACTGGGTGAAGGATAAAAGAGAAGTCTTTAAAAGAATATTCTGCAACTTCTCTGTAAGTATAAACGATTTTTTTATTTATACATATAAAGCAAACATACAGGGCAGCCCCGGTGGCGCAGCGCTTTAGTTCCGCCTTCAGCCTAACGCGTGATCCTGGAGACCTGGGATCGAGTCCCACGTTGGGCTCCCTGCATGGAGCCTGCTTTCCCCCCTGCCTATGTCTCTGCCTGCCTCTCTCTCTGTGTCTCTCATTAATAAATAAATAAAATCTTAAAAAAAAAAAACATACAAGCAAACAACAAAACCAGAGGGAAAAGCCAAGGGAACAAGAGTGTAAACAATGGCTGACTTCTCATCAGAAACAGTGGAGGCCAGAAAGTTGGAATGACATCTTTCAAGTCCAAGAAGAGGCACCTCCCACCTCCCAGAAATCTATATCTAAGGAATATTACAAACAAGGGGGAAACGAAAGTTGCGCATATTTGTCGTCAGGGGACCTTCGCTGCAGGGTTTATTAATGGAAGCTCTTTAAGGTGAAAGGGCTGGGGACGTGGACAGCAGGTTTATTGAGTCAGTACTGGTGTCAGTAGAGCGAGGCTGAGGAAACACCTAGGTGACCAGGAGCTGGGTTATTAATTGTGAGAATTAAGCAAATACGTAAATATCTAGGCAGAGATGTGACCATGCTGTGTGATCTGGATTTTGTGCCAGGGCAACGACAATACTGTTGACATGGCTTCTGATCCACCCTTCCCCAGCCAGGGGAGGTATGTGGAGCTGGAGTCTCAAAACTGGGGACAGGAAGCCAATCTACCCTTTGTGCGTTGGCTCCTCCTCTGTCCCCTTGCAACTTGCTAGCAACACTTCTGCTTCTGGGTGCTGCTCTTTTGGTGTATCTAGTGTTAGGTGGGTTTGAGGAAGAAGTGCCCACCTCTGCAGAGGGTGGGTCTGGAGGAATGGGCTGCCAGACAAGATTACACGGAATAGATTCCATCTGGGGTGTTTTGAAAGATATGTGTAATTTTCCAGGTGGAAAATTCAGGAAAATCAGTCAGACAGAAAACATGGAGTGTTTGGGAATGTGAAGCATCTCCCTGGGCAAGGGTGGGAGATGCAAAAGCGAGTGAGGGCCAGTTTTCAGGGATCCTGGGCGTCTCAAGAGAAGGCTCAGGGAAGCCCAAGGGCAGCTTTAAAGCTGTTGGGGAAGCCCAGGAGCTGGAGAGACTTCCATGCGCCTTGATGCATCAGGTCTTGTTTTTAGGGTTATTTGAGCCACCCATCGCTTCAAGGGTACCAGCCCCAACCACTGGCGGTCTCCCGCTCACAGCGCTGGTTTTTGCCTCTTGGAGCCGCCTGAGGTTTCTGGTCTGGAGAAGACCCAGAGACCCAGAGGAAGGACGGGACGATCGGCGGAGTGGGAAGGAGACCTCTGAGGAAGACAGGATAAAGCTGCAAAGCCAGTGACTTCGCGTTTGGAGGCAGCACACTGGAACTACTGTCAACTACTAGGTGCGAGCATTTGCAGACAGAGGCCCTTTACGGACATCACCGCTTGCACAAGCTTCAGAGGTCTCAAGAGGCTTTCCGGAAAACCAAACTATCCCAAGGGGGGAAATAATCAGGAATAATAAAGGACTGAACCAGTGCTCGGCACCAGAGTAAGCAATCACACGGTTTGTCAAACAAACAAATCAAATGTGCATGAATCAGACTCAAGGTCCAGAGGGAAAGTGCCGAGAAGTTCAGGTGCAAGAGAAAGCCGCGCGGGTGTCTCGGGGAAGCGGGACTGGCTCAGGAGAGGGGCCGCAGGCTCCCCGCTTTCCTAAGCGCACCCCGGGGGACCCCGGGGGACCCCGGGGGCAGGATGCCGGCGACCCCGGCGGGCGGAGGCGAGGCGGGGAAAGGGGCTGCGCTTGCCCACCGCCCGGTGCCGGCGCAGGGTCGGGGAAGCGGCGGGGGGAGGAAGCGCGAGTCGGGGCCCGCCCCGTGACGTCCCGCCCACCGCGTCCCCTCCCCCCTCCCGCTGCGGGAAAAGTGGCCGCGGGCGCCGCCGCTCCCTGTGGCCGGTCGGGCGCGGCGGCGGGCGAGATGCGGGCGCGGCAGCTCTGGGCCGCGGTGCTGCTGCTGGGGGCGCTGGCGGGCACCGGCGTCGGAGGTGAGTGGGGCTCCCGCACGGCGGGGACGCGGCTCCCCGAAGCTCCCGCGCCGCGCATCCTGCGGCCGCCGAGGTGGCGGCCTGGGAGCCTGGCGTCGGGGGCGGCGCCGAGTGCGCGGGGCCAGGCCGGCGTCGCCGGGGCCCGCAGCCGGGACCTCCCCGCCCCGCGGTGCCGGCTGGAAGGCCGCCTCGGGCGGGTGCTCCGGGACCCCGGAGCCCTTGGCCGAGCCAGGCGCCTGCCCGGGCGTGGGGGCGCCGGTCCGGGGCCGCGCGCCCCGCAGGGGGTCTGGGGCTTGCGGAGGCGGGCGGGCACCGCGGGCACCGTGGGCACCGCGAGCCGCGGCTCCCGGGCTGTTCCCGCGCGCGGCCGGGGGGATGGGCCGCAGCTGCTCGCATGCGGGCGTGCGCGCGCGCGGGGTGCCAGCTCCTCGACGTTACTCGCCCTTTGCGTTGCACTTTCTCCCAAGTTTTTCTCTTCTTAGTCTTTTTCCTTGGTGGCTCCCCTGGGGAGCGGTTCGCAGGAGGGTGAGGGCTCTGACTCCTACAGTGTCCCCCGGTGGCAGCGGTGCCCTTACATCTGAAAAACCTCCCGTGTGTGCGAGGAGCCACACGAAGGGTCCCAGGAACTGGCTTGGATCCCTGGCTTTGTCTCTCCTGCTGCTGCACACACTATGCCGAGGCAGTTGGCATTCAGCCCCATTGGTGCCGGGGAGGGGCAGAGGAGATTACAGCCCCGGGACGCTGCCCCTGGTCCTTCCGGAGCCCCGGTGACCTTCCCAGAGAGAGCTCTGGCTCCCGTTCCTCGGGGGCGTTCCTCTGCAGATGGTGCACAACTCTACATATATACACTTCTTTTTTTAATTTTTATTTTATTTTATTTATTTTTTGATAGAGAGAGAGAGAGAGAGAGAGAGAGAGAGAGGCAGAGACACAGGCAGAGGAGGAAGCAGGATCCATGCACCGGGAGCCCGATGTGGGATTCGATCCGGGGTCTCCAGGATCGCGCCCTGGGCCAAAGGCAGGCGCCAAACCGCTGCGCCACCCACGGATCCCCATATATACACTTCCAATGAAAAAGAGTAGTACTCATTGTAAGGCAATTTAAATCCTGCAGGAGGTATTAAAAAATTAAGATTTACTGATAAATCCATATCAAAGGTAGCTATTAAGAAATACTTTGACGACGGCCTTCAAGATCTTGTGTGTATGTGTGTAAGACATTATACAGGACAAGGCAACAATATCTTTTAAAAATCGCTTTATTCAGTATGACTGACATACAAAAAGCTGTGTGTATTTAATGTATGTGATTTGATGAGTTTGGATTCATATATACCCATGAAGCCATCACCACAATCTATGAATGATGTCTTGGTGGAGGAGTTACGGGTAATATATGGGGGGCTAAGTTGTTTTTGCTGAAGCTTCCCATGTGATAGATGCTCAATCAGGTCAGCGATGTCTTCATCCTATAGTCAGCAGCTTGATGACACAGTACTGAAATACAAATCTCCAGCATTGTGCCCTAAGGAGGTGTTAGAGACTCAGTTCAGATGCTATCTGATGTGGATGGGGCAGTGGAGCCGTCTCCTCCAAATGCCTGCTTCTGTGAACTCAAAACAATTGTTGCTTTAAAGAAAGCACATCTACAGCTTTCTGAGTCCAATCATTGTATTTTCTTATAGACTTAGAAGAAAGTAAAGTAACATAAGATAGAGCCTTGCATTATGGATTTCAATATTAGTGAGGATGAAGAATGTACTTGTTATTTTGGTGTATCTCTCCCCCACCTCTCACTTGTAGTATTTTTGCTGCTCTGGATACAGAGTTGTGATGATCCATATAGGGTTCCACTGCATTAAAAAAAAAAAAAAGGATTCCACTGCATTGACATACCTTAGTTTGCAGTATCCTTTGGGAGATCTGTTCACAGATTCATCATTATGATTGGGATGATTCCAGCTGTCGTGATGGGTTATACTGAGCTAGCCCTGGATGAGAAGTAGGTTGGAATAGTATTTAAGAGCATGAGCTTTAGAGTTAGACCTCCAGAGTAAGAAAGAGCGGTTTTGATTATATTTGGATCCTACTTGGGGTTGGGGGCTGGGTTGCAGATGTCAGATTCCTGGGGGAGCAGGTGGTAGGATGAGAGTAGAAGAGGGGTGTTGGTACACAGAGTGTTGAAGGGACACAGAAGGAGCTGGGTGGTGGCACAGAGAGGCTGTCCCAGAATAGGAGAGTCTGGTATGGGTGGAAGAGAGGTTGTTTGAGAGTAGAGTTTTGGAATTTGTATACAAAGACGATCTTTTGGCTTCACCCAAGAGGTATTGGGTTTTGTGGCTTTCACGTATATAAGCCTGTATTCTAACTTGATACCTAAGGGGTAACAAGTTTTATTTGCTGTCACCATCTAAACTGATTAGTTCTGAGCTGAAGTGCTAATTTCTTCTCCTGAGTTTATATCCTGGAAACTCTCTGAATGAAGCCCTCTGCCTGGAGAGACATGGCAGGAAGGCTTGTTGGCTGGGGAAGGGGACAGTTATGGTTTAAGCCAGCCAGATGTGGGTTTAATTCTTGATTTTGTCTCTAATTGGTTGTGTGACCTTAGGCAAGTTACTTAATCTCTTGAAACCTCAGTTTCCTCATCTGTAAAGTATTCAATGATTGTGCTACTTAAATGAGATAAAGGCACAAAAAAGCATTCGATAAATGGCATTTATTTTTGCCATTATTCTTGGTATCTACATATAGTGGAGATGAGCTATTACTGCTTAGTGCATGAGTGCAACTCAGGCTCCCAGAATGAGACCGATGGGGTCCCTTTTCCCACACCTATATGGCATTCCCCCATTGGTGTTTTGGTATACCTCAGCCACTCTGACCCAACAAGAACCCACAGAAGAGACCAAGGATGAAGAGGCTCATACATTTGCTTTATCCACTAGAAAATCTGAAGTTCTGTCTCTGAGGAAAGAGGAAAGTAAAAGACGTTCACAAGATTTCAGGTTCTATGAGGAGAAGAACATGTCTATTTTGTTTGGTGTGCTAGGCCCAGTGCCTTGCTACACTGACAGCCAATGGGAACGCTTTGAGAGGGCATCTAGAGGTGATGTGCCTCATTGTAAGAAACTCAATATTTGAATATCTGCATTCATTCGCAGAGGATCCTCAAGGGTTTCATCTGAGCATTCTGGGGGAATTTTAGAATATAGCTGAGACCATGAATTCTTTGGGTATTTGGATCTCTGTGCTATGGTGCCTTAGACCTCTGTTCTCAGGGGACCCTCTATGGACTGTCTGCTTTTTTCTTCCTTTCCTGGGAGAAGACATACAGGGGAGAAGCATTCTCCTTTAACCTGCCTCTAAACTGTGCGTGGTAGAGGTCTCCTGGGGACAGCAGCATCAGATGGGGCCAGGAGGCAATAGTGAGGAGGGGGAGAATGCATATGACTCTGGAGTTTCCTAATAGAAACTCCCCACCCCACTCAGGATCTCTGGTTATCATCTCCTTCCAGCCCTACCAATCCTTCTTGCCTCTGTTGGCAGAAATAGCCAGGAAGCATGCCCACAGGAACCACAACTCATGAATCAGCAGACAGATAATTAACTGGGGGAGTGACAGAGCAGCTTCAGGGATAAACCACTTAGCCTGCCCCAGCCCCCTCTGCTGCCCACGGAGCTGGCCTGCTGCTTCACCCCATTGCCTTCCTTCCTTCCCTGAGCCCTGACCCTTCTGGAATGGAGCGATCATTGTGCCTGAAGGAACTCAGGTCCTGAGTGGCATCGCAGATAGGAGCAGGAAAGTCACACTGCCTGTCTCCCTGTGTAGACTGCAGACATTTATTTAAATGTGAAACTAACAACAACAAAAAAATCTGCCTTTTTCCCCCATGTGCACAGTATCTCCAGGAACACTCTTTAAAATAAGGTTTATTGAGGCGTAATTAGCATGGAATAAAATCCATCCTTATTAGGTGTACAGTTTTTTGAATTTTGACACATTTAGTCAAGTAGCCATCACCACAATCAAGATACAGAATATTTCCATCATCTCAAAAGTTTCCCTTAAGCTCCTCTGCTATCAGTATCCTATCCCCACCTTGAGTTCCCGGCAGCCTCTGATCTGTTTCCTGTCCCTACAATTCTACCTTTTGTGGAATGTCATATAAAAGAAGTCATAGGACATGTAGTCTTTTAAGTCTGGCTTCTTTCACATAGCATGACACATTTGAGATTCACCCCTGTTGTGTGTGTATCTGGTAGCTAAGGCTACTCCATCTTCCTCGGGTGCTGAGACAGTTACCCTGAAAGCAGGTGGACTATGTCAGTTAAACCCAGATGCAACTTTCAATTTCTAAATTTTCTAATTGGATGAATGCATTTGGGCCATGTTATAAGCCATTAGACTTCCCAAATGCTAAGTAGTGATATCTTCAGGATATTGGGGAGGATTTTGCAGCAACCAGCACTTTTATTATTGGTCTGGAAAGCAGTGCATATTTTGTGGCCAAATACGGTATGTCACAATCCTTAGAGCCAGAAGCTGTTAAGTAAACCTGGGGCTATTCTATCTTTAAAAAAATTTGGTAGCATCTCTGAAAATACAAGTCTTCCTTCTGGTTTTCAGTCATGTTGCCACAAAAAGACTAGTCTCACTCTTGCCAGCATTTCTTAGTTCAGTTGGCGAAGACATTCAACATTCAAGGAGAGATTGAGGTGAACTTTTTTTTTTTTTAAGACGGTCAAAAGCTGGAGAATAAAATGGCTGGTTCCCCCCCTTTTTTTTCTGGTTACCCTTTAATTTTATTCTTCCATAATGTCCATTTTTTTTATCAGATGGTGTGTTCAATTTAGATTTTCCTCCTTGTATATATATAATAATCGTAATGTGTGTCTGTATTCCTTTACCTAAACTTGTTATTGTTTTTGTTTTGTTTTTAACTTACAAAACCTACTTCCTTTCATGCAGAGAAAAAACAGACCTCGGGTGTGAAAGAGCTATGGGTCGGGAACTGAGAAATCTATTTTTGATTCCCACCTGTGCAGCCTTTTTCATCAGCTTGCTGGGTAACTTTGCACAAGCCATCTTCCCATTGGGCCTCAGGCACTAGGTGTCTCAGGGGCTGCAAAGTGGAAGGAGATGGAGGGGGAGTCTTTGGTTTGCACCTGCGCCTCCGTACCTTCAGGTGGAGAAGTTTTTCCTTTAACTAATTCATAACATGGAACTCCATGTAAAGATTTCTTTGGGGGTGGAGGGTGAGGAAAGGGAGGTCTTCAGCTAAAAACAGGCTCAAAAAACTTCTCAACTGAAGAATGCTCCAGAAGTTTAGCAAAAGGCACATCCAGTAGCCACTTTAAAAGTCCCTGTAGCCAACCTTAATCTCTTTGCTAAATAGGATTCTTAGATAGAGAAACCTGGGCCAATGAGATCCACCCATGGCTCCAAACCCTTGTTTTAGTGACAGCACGAGATAAACTCCTCTAGGTTAAACCTCTGCTGCCTTTGCTGGGGGCGGCCAGGCTTGACCACCTCTTCGAGATGGAGGGGAACATGGTGTCTCCGTTCTGGAACTTCTATAGGTTGAGAACAGACTGTCTCTCTCCTGGGAGGTTCCTGAAGGGAGTGGGCCAATGTTTATTCTGGAGTTCCCACCGAACTGCAGAGTCAAAGAGTATCTATAGGGTTTTTTTTTTTTTAATTTTTATTTATTTACGATAGTCACAGAGAGAGAGAGAGAGGCGAGGCACAGGCAGAGGGAGAAGCAGGCTCCATGCCGGGAGCCCGACGTGGGATTCGATCCCGGGTCTCCAGGATCGCACCCTGGGCCAAAGGCAGGCGCCAAACCGCTGCGCCACCCAGGGATCCCTATCTATAGGGTTTTGATGCCACAGGTGCTCCATGTTATAAGAAGCCAGGCATGCTCTGGGGAGTCTGCAGTTATGTATGTATGTATGTATGTATGTATGTATGTATGTATGTTAATTAATTTAAAGGTTTTATTTATTTATTTGAGAGACAGAGAGCACAAGCAGGAGGAGCTGCAGAGGGAAAGGGAGAAAGAGAAGCAGCCTCCCTGCTGAGCACGGAACCTAATGCAGGACTCCATCCCAGCACCCTGGGGTTATGATCTGAGCCAAAGGCAGATGCTTAACTGGCTGAGCCAGCCAGGCACCCCTGGGGAGTCTGCACTTAGATGAATGCCAGTGTAGAAAGTGAGAGAGGACAGAGAACATTTAAAATCAGCTTTAATTTCCTTTTAGCTTATAAATGTAATTCAGCCTGTTGTATTAAAAAAAAAAAAAGCCAAGCAGTGTAGAAACAGAATAATGCAGAAAGCGCCAAGTCCCTTGTAGTTTTGTCCTTAGAGATAACTGCTGTTAAGTTACTCCAGTTTTTTTCCCCTATGTATATGTCACCATAAACAGTTACTTATCCTTACTGTTATTTCTCAAGTAGGATCACCCACAGTAGGATCAATGTTACTCAATAATATATCTTAAGCATATCTTTATGTGAGTTTATATCTTTCCATTATTTATCGTAAGAATTCTAGCCAGCAGGCATACTGTCATATAGATGTAGCAGAATTTACTTAACTGGTTCCCTGTTGGCAGACAGTGGGATCATTCTCAATTATTTGCTACTACAGATAAAGCTGTGGGGGATGGCCTTGCTCATTGTTGGCACCTTTGTTCAAGTGTTTTTACAGGCTCAATTTCTTGAACTAAAGCTTCTAGGTCAAAGGAAGTGAATATTTTACATTTAAATTTTAATAGGTTTTGCCAAATTGTCTTCTGGAATGGTGGGAGCAGTTTGCCTTCCTACTAGGATGGGGACGACAAAGACTTGCAGCAGCACCGTTACCTGCTGTCCATACCCACCAGACATGAACTGGAGGAGGAGAAGTAGCAGAACTAGAGTGCTGGATGCCAAGGAGGTCACCAACAGGGCACTGCTGGGCTGAGCCTCAAACAGAGCTTGGTACGGGCTTGCTTTTTCTCTCTACTGAGTGAGTCAGATGGGAGGTGGGGCCAGTGCTGATAAAATTTTCCAGAGCTTGAGATGCATTTGCATCAAATCTCCACTAAGCTATTGGGAAGAAATGGACATTTGTGCATTGTGTGAGGGGTCTTGGCCTCTGCGATGCTGGACCTCCTAGAGCGTTAGTCACTGGTGATGGTTTCTGGCTGGAATATATACTTCCAGGGCTGGCAGCACTTCTAATCCAACACTACTTTACAGAGAAGCAAAAAGGAGAGGCCCTGAGAGTCAAAATGACTTGCCCAAGATCATACAGCTAGTTTTGGGGCGTTGGTAGAGTCTAGCCCAGGGAGCTCTTATCTCCTGGCCTGTGATTTCTTCAGCATATCCTATTAGAGGCAGGAGGCCCAGTGAATCTGATCCTGAGGCGGGGCTGTGGTGGGGATGTAGATGGGCATTCCTAATGCAGGAAGGAGTTAGAGTGAAGGTACACAGGAAGGAATCTAACACTTACATTTACTGAGCATGCACTGTAGGTAGATAAAATTGTCTCATTTAATCCTAGCACTGCATGAAGTATGTCCATATTTGGGAGCATGGGGAAAAGGAAGCAGTGATTTGGGGTCTCCCATACTTGGCTGATGTGGCTGCATTAGGCCTGTTAAATACTAGGGAGCAATTATGAGTCCTTGAATAAAGAATGAAAGAGTCATTGGACCTTAGAGCCCCAGGGAGATGAAAGGACCTGGCCAAGGTTACACAGCCAGCGGATGGCAAAAGTGCCTTTGGATCTGAAGTCTCTTGCCTATGGCTCTGCATGTCTTCCCCATGTCCACTGTTACACAATAATAATGTTCATTGTTTTACCACTGCTGCCCTATGATGTTGCTCAGGGACTGAATGTTAATTTTATATGACGACCATATGGAAGATAGGACTCTGTCTGAGAATGGGCTTTCTGCAGTGTTCTGCACACGGCTCCCTAATTAACCCAGTTGGAGATGCTAACCAGGCATGATCCTGCTTCACTTACAAGGGCAGGGCCTACTGGCTGAAGAGTCAGTGAAAGGGTATGGCCAGTGGTCAAAACATCTGAGCTTTGTCCAAGGGGATCCACTTGCTAGGGGGCAAAATCCGTCCTGTCTTTCTGCCATGCCCCACATGCCATCCATCAGTAAGGCCCTGGAACATATCTAGGTCTGACCACACTGTAAACCCTGCTACTCTCCCAATCCAAATCCCTGCCATCTGTTATCTGGATTATTGTAATAGCTTCCTAATTGGTCTCTTTCCATCTTGTTTCCCTAATGTCTGCCTTCCTTTGAGTGGCCAGGATATTTTCTATGCTCACCTCTGCTCAGACTCCTCTAGGGGCTTTCCATCACATAGAGAATGAAAGCCACATTCCCTATCGTGGTTATAGCTTCCTAGCATTCTGCTCCCTGACTGCTTCTCTAGCTGCTTCTCTGCCTCTTTCCTCCTCTCTCTCTCTTCCTGCTATTGCTTTAACAGACTGAGGTCCATCTAGAACTTGTCATGGATTCTTTCTAGAATGCTCATCCCCTAGATTTTCCCAAGACACACTCCTTCATATCATTTTGGAATATCAACTCAGAGAGGCCTTTCTTTTTCATTTTTTCCTCTTTTAAAAAAATTTTTTTTTTTAAAAATTGAGTACAGTGATACATGTCATATTAGTTTCATGTGTACTACATAGTGATTCAGCATCTCTATACATTATGCTACGTTTACAAGTGTATCTATGGCCTGTCACCATGCAGCGCTGTTACAATATCATCGACTATACTTCCTATGCTGTACCTTTTATTCCTATGACTTATTCATTGCATAACTGGAAGCCTGTATCTCCCACTCCCCTTCACGCATTTTGCCCATCCACCTACCCCCCTTCCCTCTGACAAACATCAGTTTGTTCTCTGTATTTATAGGTCTGTTTCTGCTTTTTATTTGTTCATTAATTTGTTTTGTTTTTTTAGAGCCCATATATGAATGCAATCATATGGTATTTGTTTTTCTTAGCCTATCTTACTTCACTTAGCATAATACTCTCTGGGTCCGTCCATGTTGTCATAAAAAATGGCAAGATCTCATCCTTTCTTATGGCTGTGCAATATTCCAGTGAGTGTGCGCGTGTGTATTACATCTTTATCCACTGATCTATTGATGGATGCTTAGGATGCTTCCATATCTTGGCTATTGTAAATAACACTGCAATAAGCATACAGGTGCATATATCTTTTTTGAATTAGTGTTTTTGTTTTGTTTGAGTAAATAGTAGTAGAATTATTGGGTCATATGGTGTTTCTATTTTTAATTTTTTTGGGAACCCTCTTATGTTTTCCACAGTGGCTGCACCAGTTAACATCAACACCAACACGCAGGAGGGTTCCTTTTCTTCCACATCCTGTTCAATAACTATTATTCCTTGTCTTTTTAATTTTAGCCATTCTGAAAGGTGTGAGATGATATTTCATTGTGGTTTTGATTTGCATTTCCCTCATAATGAGGGAAATTGTGATGTTGAGTATCTTTTCCTGTGTCTGATGGCCATATGTATGTCTTTTTTGGAAAAATGTCTATTCAGGTCCAGAGAGCCCTTTTTTATATTTTAAAGATTTTATTTATTTATTCATGAGAGACACACACACACACACACAAAGAGAGAGAGAGAGAGAGAGAGAGAGAGAGAGAGACAGGAGAGAAGTGGGCTCCACACAGGGAGCCCGACGTGGGACTCAATCCCAGGTCTCAGGATCGGGCCCTGGGCTGAAGGTGGTGCTAAACCGCTGAGCCACCCGGGCTGCCCCCAGAGAGGCCTTTCTTGACTACTTTCTTTATAAGGGACTACTTCCTCTAATTGATGCTATTCTTTTATGGTTTTCTTTTCTTTTTAATTTGAGAGAGAGAACAGATACAGAGGGAGAGGGAGATGCAGACACCCTGCTGAGTAGAGAGCCCAATGCAGGACTCAATCCCAGGACCCTGCAATCATAACCCCAGCCAAAGGCAGATGCTTAACTGACTTTGACACCCAGACCGCCCACTCTGTTTTTTTTTTTTAAAAACCATTTGCCTGTGTTTGAAATTATACTTTGTTGTGTATGTTTTGTATGTTTTTGTTTCCATTTTCTCACTATAATTTAAGCTCAGTATGAATAGGGGGCTTGTTTTGTTTGACAATGTCTTCAGTGCCTAGGAGAGTGCCAGGCACAGTAGGTGCTCAATGAATATTGGTTGAATAAATGAATGACGGAATGCCAACATCACTGATGTATGTTAGTAGAAAAGTATAAAGCCAAAGTACCCACTTTCCCATTATCTACAGATGGATTAACCATGGCAGTTTTCATTCCAGGATGGCTGTTTCTCTATTATGCAAAGTATTTCAGGGCAGTGTTCCTCAAAATGGTGTCATATATGCTATGGAAATGCAAGTCCATTTTGTATTAGCTTCCTAGGGCTGCAACAACTGTGTGGCTTATGGCAATGGAAATTTATTTTCTCTGAAGGCTAGAAATCTGAAGTCAAGGTGTCAGTAGGACCATGCTTTCTCTGAGGCTCTGTGTAGACTCTTCCTCTGCCACTTCCTATCTCCTAGTGGAGGTCTGGTACTCTGGCATTCTTTGCCTTCCAGTTGGGTTACTCTGATCTCTGCCTTTGTCATCACATGACATTTTCTTTGTGTCTGTTTTCACATGGTATTTTCCCCTTACAAGGACATCAGTCATATTGGATTAGGGCCTCCCCTAATGACTTTATCTTGATTATATATGCAAAGACCTTTATTTCCAAATAAGGTAATAGTCATCAGTACTAAGGGTGAGGACTTTAGTGCATCTTTTTTGGGGGCACAGAATTCAATCCATAATGCATTTTAATATTGGTAGAGGCAAATTATACACAAATGTCTTCTGATGTTACATATCATGCACTTAAAACAACTTAAGAAAATCTTTGAAATTAGGATGCGTTCTACATCCATGATCTTAGATATGGTGAAATGTAGTTTGGATTGCTTGCCATTTTGAGTAATGCTTACTGGAGCTTTATACTTAGAGGTTATGTATTAGCTTGGACACCACTTTTCCTGTCTGTTTCCCCTTCTTTAGATTACTGAGCTGCTCTACATGTGATGAAAGAAGAACAAAAATAAAATAAATTTTCTCAGCAGCTTGCTCTGGAGAAACCAGTTGTGAATCCATATGGCAGTTAGCATGAGATGTTTTGTTCTTGGATGACTCACTCAGCCAGGTGACTGCAATGGAGGCTCAGGCATTGCCTGAGTCACCCAGTATCCCCATGGGCCTAATTGGGAAGTGACCAGCCAAAGTGGCAGGGCTGGGGACCTAGGCCAGAACTCCTCTCTGGCAGATAGTAAGATAGTCCATAGCATATGCAGCATGGATCATCCTTTCTCCCCACTAAACACCTCTCCATTTGACTTAACCCTCTCCTGAAGTTCCCTGGCCTCACTAGGGTGGCCTGTTCCTGCAGTCTAACATCCTGTCTCATTGGACAGCATGTCCTCAAAATAGCTCTCATTGACGCATTGTGACTTCCACTTGTTCCAGCTTTCTTCCTTGTTCCCCTTTTTTTCTCCATTTTTTTCCCTATCCTTTGTCTCTCTTCTGGTTCTGTGAATTAGGCTGATGTGCCAAACCACAGCCTTTCCTTCTACTGCTTTCCAGGCAACTGTGTTGGCGGTCTTGTCTTTTTGAATTGGTCTCCTCTTCTCAGTCAGCCCTCCCAGATTGGATTTTTTTTTCTAAGATTTTATTTATTTTTCATGAGAGAGACAGAGAGAGGCAGAGACATAGGCAGAGGGAGAAGCAGGCTCCCTACTGGGAGCGCAATGTGGGACTCCATCCCAGGACCCTAGGATAATGACCTGAGCCAAAGGGAGACACTCCACCACTGAGTCACCCAGGTGCCCCCAGATTGGATTTTTGAACACTAATATTCCTGGCTCCATTTAGAGAAGTGAGATCTGACAACTGATCATTTTATCCTAGTCTAGCGCTTCCTGGCTTCACTGCCCCATTCAGGGCATGCTCAACTATATGTATTATGTCCTGACAAAGTAGTGAGTTCCGAGAAAAAAGAAGAAAGTAAAACATTCACCTGCCTTAAACAGCTCGGGACTCAGGATAAAAACAGGGAGGACAAAACCAATAGCATCTAGAGCAGCAGCCGCCTACAGTGAGCCCTTCCTGTATACTAGCCTGTGGTGCTCAGAGTTTGACAGGGATTGATTCATTGAATCCTTACAGCCACCCATGAGAACAAGGGACAATCCACCTTGTTTCCTGGCTTTAGCTAAACTGTCAGAGGAAATGGGTGTTGGGGGTTGCTGATTCTTTTCAATGATAAAGTTCTGAAGGGGATCGCCACTTGTCTAGCAGGGCTGAGTCTGGGCCTTTGAGACTAAGCAGGAACGGAGCCTTATAAATGACTGGAAGGGATCCCTGGGTGGCGCAGCGGTTTGGTACCTGCCTTTGGCCCGGGGCGCAATCCTGGAGACCCAGGATCGAATCCCACGTCGGGCTCCCTGCATGGAGCCTGCTTCTCCCTCTGCCTGTGTCTCTGCCTCTCTGTCTCTCTCTGTGTGACTAACATGAATAAATAAATAAAATCTTAAAAAAAAAAAAAAAGACTGGAAAAGGAGGCCCAAACTCCTTCCACATGTTCAGGAGGGAGGGGTGGCCTTAGAGCCGCAGCTCATTGAATCGGTATGGCCCAGGCACAGAGACTTCTGATGAGTCAGTCACTTTTAGCCACTGCAATCCAGGGAACCTGCCCTTGGTGGCAGGTCTTGGTGGGGGGTATATCGTTGGGGGATCATTGGTTCTCACGAAATCAACCTGTGATTCACTGACAGAGGCGGTAAAGGGAACTGGCTGACATGACTCCCCAGGCATGACTTCCTAAAGAACAAATCCCAGCAGCTTGTCTCATCCTCTGGGGTCAGGGGCCGCCCATTCACTGGGAGGGGGCCTGCTGTTATTTATTTCCCATCTGGCAAGGCTTTCTATTGTGGCTACAAGTCAAGGACTCATAGACAAATAAATGCTAATTTGAGAATGAATGGATGGAAAAATGGACAGGCTGGGAAAAAAGTTGGCAAAAATAATTTGATGTGCCCATACCTCCCATGATCCTCTCTTCTCACTCTTCCCCGAGGTTTCCTCATGCTTCTGCTCCCTCCCCACCCTAGTGAAAATCGAACTACCCCCTGGATGCCAATTCCCATGGAAACCTCAAGGAGGGAGGCAGAGACCTAAAATAGTTCAGGCTATGCTCCTCTCAGAGCTCTTCCAGTAAGGCAGTAAGAGGGGCTGTGCTCACATCTGGTTGGGAAAAGAGCCACTGTGTGCTGAGACGTGGCCAGGCAGCCCTTGTGGAGGGAGGCCTCCTGGTTGCATCGTGGGATCTGAACCATGAGGCCTTCTGAAGCCCAGAGCTCTGGGAAGACCAGCTACCTTTCTTCCATTATAGATAGACAGGGCATGGCTGAAGGTTGCCCCAGCTCAGAGGTGGCCTTGGAACCTTAGGGCCAGGCCAGGAACCACTGCCATAATTCCTACTTCACAGACCTTGTGCTTGATGGGTAAGAGGCAGTCACGTCAGAGGCTGGGGCCCAGGGATTATTCTTGGGCTGGTAGCAGCACGCCATTTACAGAATTACAGAACCGTGGAGTTGGGAAGGGCCTTTGAAGTTAGAGTCAAGCTTTGAGGAAGTCTGGGGCTTCCAGGATTCCACAGAAAATTCTCGTGTTTTTAGGAAAACAATGAAAGTTTAAATTGTCAGAGGAACTGTTTCAACCAATTTGCATGTTCTATATCGGAATTCCTTGCATAATTTGGAGCTCAGTTGTTTAAAAAACAAAACAAAACAGACCTAGTCCAATACTTCTCCATTTGCTCCAGTATACGTTTATGGAGCATTTGCTTTGAGCAAGGCCTGGGGCTGGGCTGGGCCGGGCAGACTTGAGGGGCTTAAAATCTATTGGATGGCAGTGTTGTTAAGACAGATGAGTAATTGTAATATGTTAGGGATAGTCTGTGAAGAAACAGGCTGAGAGGAGTTAAATGACTGCCTAAGGCCACCTTAGTAATGGTGACTCAGATCTGCAGTCTATACCCTTCTGATGGATCTCTCTGCCCTCCAGTGAGACCCTAGAGGAGATGGATATCGTTAAAATGTAATGTTTAAAGAGTTTAAAGTATGTTTACCATACAAACATAACATGAATATGTGTCAAAAATTTTGTTCAACTAAATTAATGAGGGAAGCAGTAAGTTATTAAGATTAGTTTCAAAGAAAATTCAGGGAAGGGAGGGGTGCCTGGCTGGTTCAATCAGTAGAGTGTGCGACTCTTGATTTTGGGGTTTGAAGTTCAAACTCCACATTGGGTGGAGAGATTATTTTTAAAAATCTTTAGAAAACTCAGGGAAGGGAAATTTATAGTTGGTCAGTCAGAGGAATGTTTAAATCAATTATCTGACAGTTTTGAAATTAGTTAATGTTCTACAAGGCAATAAACCCTAACCTTCAGAGGGTTACCTTTGATACCAGACAGATTATTTGCAGTGCTGTTGGAGAGGAATCATATATACTGTTCTCATCAAGAATTATTTCCATTGTAACTGGTTTTCTACAAGTTAACCTCTATCCTTATGGAGTTTTAAAATATCCTAATCACTAGAAGTCAAACAAAGGTATATTCCTCAAGAAAATCAGGTAATCCCTAAGTATGGTGGGTCTACTTGTCAACACCCTGCATTGAAAGGACATCCAGTATTTCCTTGCCTATTTCCAAATCTCGGATAATTTTTTTTTGACAATACTGTGTTGTGTGTGTGTGTGTGTGTGTGTGTGTGTGCGCACATTTTCTGGGTATGTTTTGTCTGGATGTTGGAAGGGAGTTTAGTCACACTGTAATAAAATGGACTGAGACATTCAGCTTGATGAGAGGTTTTAGGGGCACTGGAAAAATACCCCACTGATCAGGTTGATTTCCCTAAAAATGGCTTTGCTGGTCTTCCCAGATGCAGGCAAGGGACCACTTTAGAAAATTGGATGGAGGACCTGGGTCACGGAGGGGAATGTATCTTTCTCAGGCTGAGAGACCTTTATATTGGAAAAGACCCTCCTGGGGGCATTGCAGAAAGCAGAGGTTTACCTGGCTAAGCCCAAGAAGGCTGAGCTAGGGGAAGCAGGGAGGGGGAGAACTTCTAAGTAAATGCTTGAAGTTTGCTTCTTGGCTAGGCTTCCCTGGTTTATTTTGGTCCTTCTGCTTGTCTCTGCTTTTCCCTCTAGTTTTTTCTCTGTCTTTTGACAGTGTGAAGACTGTTTACATTTGAATGACATTTTGTAGGGCACCACATGCTTCTCTCTTACCTCACTGAATACTTTGCACAAATCCTGTGAGATAGATATTACCATTTCATAAAGGTTAGCTGAGTTGCTCAAAGTCATGACATGGCTAGTAAAAAAGAGCACTCAGGATTCAAATATCTTCCAGGACTTTCAACTCTGATCCATGTTACACCCTCCAGCTTATCTCACTAAGCCTTTTCTGACATTTCTGGAGCTTTTCCTGGACCAGTCTACACCTTGACCCAAAGCTATACGTATTGGGACGCTTGAGAAGGTTTCGGAAGCTTTGCTTTGTCCTGGCAGGCCAGTGGAACGTTCTCATGGCCATCCGCACTCCCGCCCCCCACCATACATAGGCTATGTGTTAATGTTAGCGCATCAGGGCTTTGGATTCCATAGTAGGGACTGTGAATCGATCACTAGAATAATTGGAGAGAGGGCACATTACATTGCCCTGGGCCTCAGATTTAGCTATGCACCATGTAGGTGTCAAACCAGGTATTAATTAAAGCCTCTCCATCAGTTATGATCTGATAGTTTGGCCCAGGTTTCAGTATTGATCCAGCACTTGTCATCACTGGGGCCTCATCAATGCGGGTGGTGATGTGTTTCCTCTGACCTTTCTCTTTTTTTTTTTTTAAATTTTATTTATTTATTCATGAGAGACACACAGAGAGAACGACCTTTCTCATTCTTCCCTCCTTACTGCACAGCCTGTGGTTGGTGAATGTCTATGGTATGGTCAGACCTGCTGTGTGCATCTGAGAGCTATAAATCTGGGTGACTGGGGAAGTTGGAAAGGTTGTAGGAGGTCAGCTACACTGTCAGGCCAGGTTGGGTGCTAATGCCTTTGTCTCTGTTGCAGTGTCCAACATCTGTACTACACGAGGTGTCCGCTCCTGCCAGCAATGTCTAGCTGTGAGTCCTGTGTGTGCCTGGTGCTCAGATGAGGTAAGGAGAAGACATGTGACCTTAGTTCTTCCCCAGGCTTGGCTGCTTTCATGCAGGAATGGATCCAGAGGGGCATCTCCTCCCTGCTAAATACACAAGCCCCTTGTTCCTCCAGAGCAAAGCCAGGGTGAAGCCTTCCTATTGATGGAAGTCGAAGTGAGCTGTCATGGGGTTGTTGCCTGGAGTGCCACCCGTATTGGGCTCTGTGACACTTACTTAGCGTGAACCAGTTTGGTTAGATCCCTGGTCTCATTGTAGCCACTGTCCCTCTTTACCACACTTTGCTTGCTTGCTTGCTTTTTGTTGGGGGTTGAGCACCCCAGGGTGTCAGGTATCAGAGAGGCAGAAGAAGGTTGTTGGTATAGAAGGGATGCTGGCTTAAAACATCTCAGAGTTTTAAAAAGGCAAATGAAAGAGAAATCTTGTACTTCCATGGGGGATGGGTGCTGTTCTGTCAGAGGATCTTTTCTCTCATGAAGTCCAGACCCCCAAAGCCTTTACCTTTTCCTCTCTCTTTCTCTTATTTTCTTCCTTCCTTCCCTCCCTTAGGTGTCAATGAGACAAGGTGCTGGGCCAATTTGGTGAGGATAGGAGGGTGACAGGAAAGGTTTAGCTGTGTCTAGGCAGAGGGTTTGTTGTGTCTGGGGCCCTAGGGAATGAGTGTGTCTGAGGGAATTGCTGTGTTTGTGGCTGGGACAGGAATTTGGAGCTATGAGGGCTGGGGGTGGTGAGTGTAGCTGGAGTGATTCCAGTGATTACAGAGTCTGAGGCTGAGTCATTGGTCTGCCCTCCCCCCCCCCCCAGGTGGTTACCTGAACTTCCAGCCACCTGAGGCCACCTCTCTGTCATAAAAGCACGTCTCTGCCCTCTGCAGTTTTATGACTGCTCAACTACTCAACTGCTTGAATCAGGCCTCCTCATTCTCTTTGCTTCTCTTCCCAATCTGCTGAGTTTCCTAAAAAGGCAACCTTCCTGGTAGGCTGGTGGGGTGTGAGGAGGGGGGAGGGAGTGGGAGCTGGGAGGCTGTGTTTACCCCTAGACAGGAGGATTGCCAGAGCTGCAGAGGCCAGCCCAACACACTGCTTTGCCTCTGTACAGTTCAGCACGGGAACTCCTTCCAGAGGCAGCTGCCCAACATCTGGGCCACATTGACTTCATTTAGCAAATGAAACATTCCCTGGGGCTGGGAGTGAGGGGTGGGGAGGGGGTGGGTGAATCCATCCCCTCCACCCCCACAGGTTCTCCACCCCTCTGGGCTGAGCTGGCCACTCAAGTGTGATGTGGCCTCCTCCCTTCTCATTTGCCATATCTTCCTTCCCTTGGTTGCCATCATAATATTATTAAGCTGATTTTGTAAGGAAGTTGGCATTCTGCAACTACATCCTGGAAGAAGGGAGAGCTTCTTGGATTCAATGGCCTGAAGCTGGCTAGAGCAGATGGGTTAGCCAGGGGAGAAGCCCTAGGGCCACTCAGAGGATGCTCCCCATTCCTTTTCTCTCCTTTTCCACCCAAAGTGAACAGAAAGTGCAGGCAAATGTGACTAAGAGGAGTCTGGGGAAAAAGAAAACTTATACTTGGAGTGTCTGTCCCCCTTTTTGATCTGTGTAGGGACAAGCCCTGTAGCTGAGGTATGCTGAGGCCTAACCAGACAAAGCCCATAGGTCATGTGACCAGATTTTGGAGAGTCAAGTGCAGAATATTTGTGGATGACTATGGTGAATGGTGTCCCCTGGGGCAGACCAGGGGAGGACATGGGGAGAAGGTGCAGGGTAGGATCAAAGCATAAGTTAGGGATGGTGGTAGTGGTGGGGGAGTCAGAGAGGAAATGAGTGCATCATGAACCAAAAAATACTGATGAGTGGAAGTAGAAGGTCCAATAATATATTCTCTGGAAGAATGGAATATAAACAGGAAAGTGGGTGAAGCCAAGGGTTTAGTGAATGACTACAACTATCTCTGGGAAAGGAGGAGGAGGGGAAGAGAGATAGCAGAGGAGCCCAGTGTGAGGCGAAGTGTGTCAGCCAGCCTCCTCCAGGGAGGAGTGGGAGATGGGAATCCCAGGCTCTAACCTGAACTTGACTGCTGGTGTTTTTTTTTTTTTTTCCCTGAGGGTTTCCCCTGCACAGGCCAAGTTTAACCACTGAAAGTATCTTGGCTATTGACTTAAAAAACCAGAAGTGAACCGTCTGGGCCATTTTGTATATGACTTGTTGAATAATTGACCCTAGAGGGCCCTTTACTTCTGCCTCTCTTACCTTGGCAGTTGCAGGCAGGGTTGGCAGTGCCTGGAAAAACAACTGGTTGGGCTCAGCTTTCCCGTGGTCCTAGAGGACAGCAGCTCTGGGTGTGTATAGCAAGTGCTTGGCCGGGTCATAGGAAAACATAGCCAAAGTGGATGAGTGCAGAGTTTGGGGCCATCTGCATAGGGTGTGTTCTTGGGGGGGTTGCATACTGATATGGGTGGGGGTGGTGTGCTGCCTCTTGGCTGTGAATATCGCCAAGAGGCCAACATCACACAGAGATTCAACTCATGGTCTCAGCTTCACTGGTGCCATGTTGGAATCTAGAACCTTTCAAACTTGCTTGGTTGTAAGAGTCACTTGGGATTGTTTGTTCAATATAAAGGTTCCCAGGTCAGATTCTGGACCTTTTGCATTGGAATGGGTTGTTATGATAGCAGGTTTGGCAAACCTTACTAATCAAAGGGGCTGATCTGGAATCATGGTAGGCAGAGGTGGAGTTAAGGCAGCCAGATAAAATATAGGACGTCCGGTTAAATTTGAATTAAACAACAAATAGTTTTTAATATAAGTATGTCTCAAATATTTGCTAAATTTGGCAATTCTAAGATGGAGGGAAATACTAGGAATTCTTACATAGTCCTGAGTACACATCAGAAGGTGGATCAGCTCACACTCAGCCTGACAGCCAAGGATGAATAAAGAAGAATGAGTTTGGGTCTAGCCAAATAGACTCTAGTAGGAGTACATATTTTCTTCTCTGCATCTGTAGGGGACACGTATGGGGCCATTATTTAATTCCTTTTTAGTCACAGCATAATTTTGTTCTTACTTGTCTGCAGCTTTGTCTTTCTAATTTTTTTCAACATCCAGAGTTTAAATATTCATCTTGAGAGTTTTGCTCAACTTGTTGTAAAAATAAAAGTATAATATTAAAAGTGCTCCCCCCAAACAGTGGGGTATGGATACCAATAGCTAGCTATAAATCAAAGTGCTTTTCTTTTCCTCTGCTTCTCTATATGCTCAAGTGATTTCTTGTTCTCACTGAAACAACCAAGAAAACAACGTTAATTTATTTCAGTTGGAGGCATTTGGTAGTTCTCTGGGAGAAAAAATAAGTAGCAGGGCCTATTGTCCCTTGTCTTCCAAGAAAAGAGTATACAATAATAGTAATTTTAATGGTAATAGTAGAAAAAGCCACTTTCTATCTGTATTTATCATATAAATGCAATGATATGATATATGCCATCATATCATATCATATCAAAAGGATTTGAATATGTTTGACTTATATTGAGATTTTTCATATTTTGAAAGCATTTCATGTTCACAGCCTTATTTGATCCCCTGCCAAAGTCTGTGAGATAGGTAGGTAGGATAATGACAGTTTTTCATGCTTTATTTTCCCAATTTCCAAAATGGGATGAATGGAGAATGGGATTAATAGTGTGCATCACCCTCCCAGGAGAGGGAGAGGGTTCAGCTCACGCCACGCGTGGGCTGGAACCTCCCACCTCTGTGCTCAGGATCCTCCCCTGGGTCTTGGTTATTTCTGCCCTTTGTGTCACATCCGGTTTCACTGGGAACTAGAACTTTAACATTCCTCCTCCCTCCTTCCAGTTATTTCTCTGAGTAACCTAGAGACATACCTTTACTTTCCCAGTCTGGGTTAGTAAGAAAGGGAATGTTGCCCAAGTGTGTTGAGGTCACCACTTTTGTATCCTTCTGGGACAGGAGGCTCTCAGGGAGAGCATGGTGAAGAGCAGGCTGTTGTCTTCCTGACCTCTGATGTCAGCGACCACAGAGGGAGGGAGGGAAACAGTTTTTGTTTCTCAGTGTTTATATTTCTAAGGAAATTCATAACAAACCATAAGGACAGTCAGCAGGGCTTAGCACTTCAGACCTTCTTGTAATAAGCACTGTTGCGTTGGCAAAAACAGGGAGTCAGAAAACCCCCTCCAGAACATTCTCTCCCTTCTTGGATGCAGCTTAAAGATACACAGTGGCCTCCATACTGCTCTCATTTCATTTCCCAGTCTCCCCTTCCCCCAGTCCTTCGGCATCTGCGTGAGTCCTGGAAAGGATCAGCTCCTCCTTGCATCTGAGTCTATACAGTCATTGCCTTTTTGGGAAGATTTTCTCTGTGGGGTTTTGTGGGCAGCTGGAATCAGAGATAAGGTGGGAGTGCTCTGAACAGGAGACTCCTTCCTCAGGGAGAAGAATTGGGAGAGCCTGCAGGGGCAGCAAGAAGAGTTTGGGCACTGGAACTCCAAATGCTCCCAAGTTCTCCCCTCTGCCATCCTGTCCTATGCCAGGCTGGGAGCAGGGAGGGCATTTTTGACTCTTTTGGAGACTTGGAGGATCCATGATGTCCCTGCTGGAATCTTTGGAACCAAGAAGGTTAAGGCTTAGGCACTGTTTCCCATTCCCATTTATCCAAATCACACTTGTGAGGCTGAGTGGGAAAGAAGGAAGCTGCTGGCTTCCATTTTTTTTTTCTACTTCATGCCTGGGCCAAGGTAGTTTATCTTAGTCTATTCAGGCTGCTATAACAAAAATACCATAGCCCTGGTGGCTTGAGAACAAACATATTTTGCACAGTTCTAGAGGCTGAGAAGTCCAAGATGAAGGTCTCACCAAATTTTGTGTTGTAGTGGCTGTCTTTTTGCTGTGACACAGCAGAAGAGGCCAGGGGACTCTCTGAGACCTCTTTTCTAAGGGCACAAATCCCATCATGAGGGCTCTACCTCAAGACCTAATCACCTCCCAATGCTCTATCTCTTAATACTTTGGGGGTTAGGGTTTAACATATGAATCCTGGGGGGATACAGACATTCAGTCTACATCCCTGCTGATGTTCACACTCCCATCCACCTGGGGAGGCCTTTCAGCCTATCAGACAAGAGCTGGGCATGAGAGGGAGAGAGACTTTAAGCATCAGGAGGGGCTTTAGGCTATGGAGTTCTGATTTGTTGAGTATAGATGGTTACTTGTGGCCAAATTCCTCCCCTGGAAATAAGGCTACCAGTCACCTGCAGGGGCCAAGGAGGCAGAATGTTACCTCTCCTTCCCACACCTTCCACATCCCCTTCATACCTTCTGTTCCCTACTAGGGCATTCTCAGGTGTGGTCTTTCTGGGACCATTGCTTGCATACTTCTACTTCTCTGCCTCGATTCTCACTCTATATGGCATTGAACACAAACTCTCCTTTTATGAGGATCATGTCAGTCAGACAATCTAGGAAGCACCTCACTTCTGCCATTCTTAGCTCTGGAACTTTGGGCAGGTGGCTGACTTCTCCAAGCCTTAGATTTCTTTCTTGGAAGATTGGCTTCCTCATTTGTGAATTCCTCAAGCCCCAGGTTTATCACTTGTGAAATAATAATAATAATAATAATAATAATAATAAATTCCAGCCTGAAAGAGCTGTACACAGGAGAGTTGCACATGTGGAGGAATCCACATTAAGTGCATATTGCCATGCCTCACATGTGTTGAGTTCTCAATATGGTAACACCAGTTTTCTGGGATAATGGTATGGGTTGTTTGGCTGACTTCTGGAAACAGTTGTGAGAGGTAGTGATGGAGGTGAGGATTGAGGGCCCAAAGTTCTAAATATTGTGATACAGGCCCAGGGAAGAGTTTTCCAGCTCTCTGGCCAGTCCTCCCCACCCCAGACTTGAAAGGAAGGAGCCCTCATAGACTGGCACCCACACAGTGCTGGCTAACTGTGTTAGCTGGGCACAGAGCAGGAAGGGACCGAAATTGCCATGTCACCTACCCCCTTATCCAGCAGGTGAGAAGACCAGGGCTCAGAGGGGTGCAATGAGTAATCTGAGGGCACAGGGCCAGCTAGTGGTAGAGCCAGGATTGAGCCTGATTCCTGATTTCTTTCCGTTGCAGCACACCCTCCACTCAGTACTCAGGTGTAGACACACAGAGATTCAGAGAGCCAAGGGATACACACCAGGGTGTTTGGAAGGGTACTCAGTTTACTTTTGTCCAGGGTGAGAGAGGAAGTTTAAAGTGAAGTGATAGGATAGGCCCTCGTCAGTGGCTGGCATCATGGGATCTGCCCAAGCTTGTGGAGTTTATTCATAACTCACTTATCCAGGAGCTATTTATAGAGCATCTCATAACAACAGCTAATATTTATTGAGCACTTATTCCATGGCAGGCACTATACTGTGGATTTTATATGCATTGCCTTGGGGTGCCTGGGTGTCCCAGTCAGTCAGGTGAACGGCCAATTCTTGATTTTGGCTCAGGTCATGATCTCAGGATCATGGGATCGAGACCTGCATTAGGCTCTGTGCTGAACTTAGAGTCTGCTTGAGATTCTCTCTCTTGCCATCTCCTTCTGCCCCTTCTCCCTCCCTCTCTCTCTCTCTTTCAAATAATAAATAAATCTTTATAAGCATTGTCTTATTTAGTCCTGCATAACATCTCTGTAAGTGTGGTCTTTTATTATCTTCTTGTTATAGCTGGAGAAGCGAGGCATGGAGAGCTTCAGTGACTTACCCAAGGAACCAGCTAGCAAGAGGCAATGCTGAGATGTAGTCTCTGTCAGTCTACTACAATCTTAGCCCCAGCTCTGCTGCCTCCCCATCCTTGTTCCCCCTACGACCTTTGTGGTGACTCCTGGGTTGGGTGCTGGGAAGAGAGAGGGAATAGCCCCTGCTCTCCGGGATCTCACACCCTAGCCAGTGTCTTGACATAGTGGCTTCCAAACTGTTTGACCCTGACCTAGAGAAAGAAATACATTGCATATTGTCATTTATTTTATCCAACTCCCAATATATAAACATTTCATAAAACAGTATTTAGTTTTACTATGTATGTATATATGTTGATACTTTCTATTCTATTCAGTTGAATTTTATTGAATAAATTGGAAGCTGAGTCGCCTACATTGATTTTTGGGACCCATGTGTGGGTCACATTTCAGTTTGAAAACTGCTGGCCTTTTTTTTTTTAAGATTTTATTTTTATTTATTCATGAGAGACACAGAGAGAGGGGCAGAGCCATAGGCAGAAGGAGAAGCAGGCTCCTTGCAGGGAGCCCGATGCAGGACTCCATCCCAGGATCCTGGGATCATGACCTGAACTGAAGGCAGAGGCTCAACCACTGAGCCACCCAGGTGTCCCTGAAAACCACTGGTCTAACAGGCATTTTACAATACCAGCCTTCTTCCTAGCTACCAATCTGTGAATAGGTACTCACCTAACCTTTCTGGTACCTCAGTTTCCCCCTTCTGTATGATGGGCTTTCTTAGGAGGGACCACCCAAATTCATTTTTGCTGGTTTAGCTCCAGAGGGCTGGGTGAGCTCTAGGCTGTTGGGAGTTGGCCTAGCCTATGGGAGACAGAGAGCCACATAGCTCCAATCACAGGCTTCACCTTGGGCTCCTGTCTTACAGGCCCTGCCTCTGGGCTCTCCCCGCTGTAACCTGAAGGAAAATCTGCTGAAGGATAACTGTGCCCTGGAATCCATTGAGTTCCCCATCAGTGAGGTCCGCATCCTGGAGGCCAGGCCCCTTAGCAACAAGGGCTCTGGAGACAGCTCCCAGATTACTCAAGTCAGCCCTCAGAGGATTGCACTGCGGCTCCGGCCAGGTAGGTTGAGGCCTCTTTTCAGGGAGAGACCCTGGACAGATGGGCACAGGGCATTTCGCAATGGAAATGGGGTGGGAAGAGAAGGATGTTGGGGGCAGTGTTGGGCTGGAAAATGCAGGATAATGGAAGGTATTGGAACCTGTGGTCAGAAGATCTGAGTTTGAATTTTGACTCTCCTGTATATTAGCTCTTTGACCTTGGGCAAGTTACTTAAATCTTCTAACAGAGAAGGAACTTGACAAAATGCTTATTTCTTCTTTTCCCTAATGCCTGTTTTACCTGACAACCTTGTGTTGAGGCTCAAATGAGAAGATGAGAAGGCAATTTATAATTGTTAAGCCCCCTTTCCAGGTGAGATTAGATCAGGGGCACAGGGACAGAGAATATAGGGGCAGGAGACCTACAGGGAAGGAAAGATTAGGCTATGAGACAGGCTTTTCGAAGCATTGATTTAGACTTTCCAATTATATTCAGAAGATTTGGGGGATCCCTGGGTGGCTCAGCAGTTTAGTGCCTGCCTCCAGTCCAGGGCATGATCCTGGAGTCCCAGGATCAAGTCCCGCATCGGGCTCCCTGCATGGAGCCTGCTTCTCCCTCTGCTTGTATCTCTGCCTGTGCCTCTCCCTGTGTCTCTGCCCGTCCCCCTCCCCCTCCTCCTCCCTCTCCCCCCCCCTCTCGTGCGTGTGCTCTCTCTCTCTCTGATGAATAAATAAAATCTTTAAAAAAAAAGATTTAACCAAGTACCTTTTTTTTAAAGATTTTATTTATTTATTTATTTATTTATTTATTTATTTATTTATTTATTTATTTATTTATTTATTTATTCATGAGAGACACACACAGAGAGAAGCAGAGACACAGGCAGAGGGAGAAGCAGGCTCCATGCAGGGAGCCTGATGTGGGACTCGATCCTGGGTCTCCAGGATCAGGCCCTGGGCTGAAGGCAGCACTAAACCACTGAGCCACCCGGGCTGCCCGCCAAGTACCTTCTTTGTGCAAGGCATCTGTTGGGTGCTATGGGATTCAGAGAAGGGCAGGACATAGTTCCTGTCTTTTACAGAGTCTGAAGTGTAGTGACAGCCAAAACCTCTGTGACCCTTGGGACCCAGAGGGTTAGGCAGGGGGGCATTTGGAAAGGGTAGAGAATTTTAGAATGGGGGAAAAAAAGAGGTTAATCATAAGAGGATCAAGAGATTGGAAGAGGAAAAGAATTGCAAGGGAAGAGGAGAAGAAGGGACCAGGGCTTTCAAGTTTGATTTGATCAAGAAGTTACTTAATTTCAAGTGTGTCCAAATCCACTTATGAAATCTTGGAGAAAAGGAGAAAAACTAACATCCTCTTGCCTTTCAGATGATTCAAAGAATTTCTCCATCCAAGTTCGGCAAGTAGAGGATTACCCTGTGGACATCTACTACTTGATGGACCTGTCTTATTCCATGAAGGATGATCTGTCGAGCATCCAGAACCTAGGCACCAAGCTGGCCTCCCAGATGCACAAGCTCACCAGTAACTTGCGGATTGGCTTCGGGGCTTTTGTGGACAAGCCTGTGTCTCCATACATGTACATCTCCCCACCAGAGGCCCTCAAAAACCCCTGCTATGAGTAAGTACCTCCCTGTGGAAGCCAGGGCAGCATTCCTCCCCTTTGTCTCAGGCAGGTCCAAGTCCTGCTTCCTGTTTCTGGCTCTAGGATTGCTTTATTGCTGGCCAGATCATATCTCCTTTCTACCTTGGTCTTCCTGTCTGGCAAGTGAGCTGGCCTGTTAATGTGGAGTGATGTGTCAATAGAATCCAAGGCTGTTTGGAGGGTAGTAACTGCCAAAACCTCTATGACCCTTGGGACCCAGAGGATTAGACAGATGGGCATTTAGAATCCACAGGGTAGACAATTTCCAGAAAGAAAACTAAACACCTTCTTGGTTTTGGTCACAAATAAGTAGGACACCAGAGAGAATGGGAGGAAAATGAGATAAAAAGTTGAGAGAAATTTATGAATAAGTAAATAGAGGAATTATGCTTTCAGAAGAATTGATTCCATTGTCCTCCTCATCATCAGGAGTATTAACTCATAGTCCTACAGAGTTAAAATGCAAGGGATTAGGTCCTAGTGGAGTATAAATAGAGTAGAAATGATATTTATTGAACCTTCTGATAAATCCAAATGTTGATGTGTGCCTCTGTTCACACTTTGGCTTACAGCTGAATGGCTTATTTATTTAATTGGTGGAGAGTTTAAAAATCCATGGAGTGTAATAACTTAAAATGATGGTTACTGAGCCTGACAACATATGAATTTACTTTTTAGTTTTTGAATTTATATGATGTACCCTTTTAGCCTATCTGGGTTGTAAGTTTCACCAGCAAAGATGTCAGCCATCAATTAAACAAGCCACTGGGCTGAGGACAGAAATGTTCTTGTCTAGCACAGATCTGTCAGTGTGTCAATAGTTCATGGACATTAAGTTATTTTGCTTTAAGAACTTTTGCTTTATCGTTGTGTTAATGTTACTTCAGAGAAACGTTAAGCCTAAAGTGATAGCAACAGCCATAGCCTCACTCTAATATAAGTGCTTTACATGAATTAACTCATTTAAGCCTCACAACAACTCTTAGGAGATATAACCTATCATGTCTTCATTTTTATAGAGAAGCTTGTCCCATGAGGAAGTGCTGGGACCTGAACCCAGGCAGTCTGGTTCCACAGCTCACTGTCTTATCTTCCACCCTCGCTAGAAGGGAAGGCCATTGTGATGGCTCGGGCGATGTGAGGGGTTTGGAGTCTGAACGGTCTGAGTAATTGTGGTTGTAGAGAATTGGCCTGGAGATTGTGCTCTCTCTGTCTCCCCCTCTCTCACTCTCACTTCCCATACAGCCTTTCCCATCAGGGTGTCTGCTTAAATTATCCCCCTCCATCCCCAGTATGAAGACCACCTGTTTGCCTATGTTTGGCTACAAACATGTGCTGACGCTAACTGACCAGGTGACCCGCTTCAATGAGGAAGTGAAAAAGCAGAGTGTGTCACGGAACCGAGATGCCCCAGAGGGCGGCTTTGATGCTATCATGCAGGCTACAGTCTGTGATGTGAGTTTGGAGGGCATGGAATGTCTGGTGTGGTTGTCATATATTAAAATGGGGGAAGTAAATGGTTCAGCTGTGGGAATTAGTGTGAAAAAGAGATAGGAAGTAAGCCGAGTTTTGTATGGTGTGAGCAGTAAGTTTCTCCTGAGAGGCAGTCTTTGTGTCACTCCCTGGCCAGAGCTGACATGTTTTGAACCTCATTGACCCCAGATGTTTTCTGGGGAGAGTATCTTCTTGCCTTCTCTGGAAGTGTATCAGAGTCAAGCCTGGTTGACTTAACCTTAGCAAAGTGGGCAGATGTTCAGATGGGATTTCTGTAGCCCAGCCCAGTTCCACCTGTGCAGGTAGGTTTCTAGACAGGCTACATGATTATTGTGGAAAAGCTATATTTAGAGTTGAAGTATGTGTCTTTCAACTGCTTGAACTAATCAGCTGAGGCTCCTTTCCTAAGAGAACAGAAACCCTTGAATTGGAAAAGCTCCAGATTGTGTTCTAAGAACTGGGACTGAAGCCTTTCTTCAAGATGACTTATTCAGCTCTTCAGCGTGGAAGTCCTTGGGTCTTTGTCTTGTACCAATGACATGGCTAAAGCTGCCTTCTCCCTTTTGCTTATTTATTTATTTTTTAAAACAGGAGAAGATTGGCTGGAGGAATGATGCATCCCACTTGCTGGTATTTACCACTGATGCCAAGACCCATATAGCGCTGGATGGAAGGCTGGCAGGCATTGTCCAACCTAACGATGGGCAGTGTCACGTTGGCAGTGACAACCATTATTCTGCCTCCACTACCATGGTGAGATTCTTGGTACCGCCTGTGGTCCCCATTTGCTATGGCCAGGGCTACGCTTACCCAGGCAGAGTTTCTGTGTGAGTATGAAGATGGCAGCTCTTTCCCTGTGCAGGGTGTAGGACTTGTGTCAGCCTTTCCTCTCACTGCTTCCCCCCGCCCCGTACCAACTGGACACTTTCATCCAGGGGACAGACTGCACAGCCATTATAAGTAGTCCTGGCTGTGGTTGCTCCTGCCACCACTGTCTCCACTGCCTCCAGCACCAGCAGCAGTATCATGGCCTCCAGAATGGACCCAAAGGACTTCTGCAGGTCTAGTTGGAAAGCAGGTCTACTGTGTACAGATTAGCCTCTTCTTAGAATGCCATGCTCACTTGTGGTTATTGGAAGAAGATAGGGGATAAAGAGACAAAGATCATCAAAAGAGTGGATATCTGTTCCTGTGGGGAAAGATTGAAGGGGTCCAAGTCACTTAGCTTGAAAGAAAGTTTAACTGATATATGAGAAGACTTCTTATAAGTTGTTTTCTATGGCCTTTGAGTGTCAATTAAGAGGAATGGAGTTATTACTGTAAGCCATAAAGAAATGTAAGACCCTCAGAATACTGATACTCTGGGTATCTGGGGGGTAGGTATGAACTCTTCATCTCTTAAAGACAATACAACAAAACAACTTGTCTAGGTGGCTTAACAGAATACCTGTGTAAAGGCAGGAGTCCGAGCTGGATGATCTCATGAGCTCCCTGCAAGGTCTAGGATCCCAGGGACGTGTTCATAATTCACCAGCATCCCTGTTATGGCTTGAGTTCCTTGGTGTCAGCCATGTCTAAGTTGGGCACTGCAAGGCATTGGGCGAGTCAGTTATCCCTGACACCTAATCTAGTGCCTTGCCTAGTGCCTCCCTCAGGGGCTGAGGGAAATAAAGGGACTATCTAAGATACCTTTTTGGTTTATTTGAGGAGATGGGCTACTAGTAAAGAAGATGATTAGTGCTAAATAGATAGTGCAGTCAATAAAGGCTTTGGGGATCCAAAGGAGGAGAGCTCATCATGAACTGGGATGGTCAAGAAAGGCCTCCTATAGAAGGCAGGACCTAGGCTGGGTCTAAGGAAGGTGGAGGATTACCAAAAAGAAGGCCACTCCATGGGGGAGAAAGAGTATGCTAGCTCAGTGGTAAATGGAAGGGGAAGAGATGTGGATGCTGATTGGAAAGGAAGGCTGAGACCACCACAGGGTGGTGTGCCACTAGGATGCACACACTGGGCCAAGGCATTTATCAGTAGCTACAAAATGAGGAAACTTCAAAATGAGGCCTGACACGTATGGGAGAGCAAAGGATAGGAAGACTCCAAGTTCTGCTTTGCAGCCCCCTCCTTCCTTCCTGCTCCTCACCCACCCCTCTCTCCTCTGAGCCCCAACATCACCTTGTGATGCCACTCTTTGGATCTTCACTTTGTTTTGTAGTTGTATGTACCTGTCTTCAGTACCAGCCTATGAGCTCCTTGGCAGCAGAGACTATGATATATTTGTCATTCAATAAGTGTTTGTTAAATGAGTTAATGGAAAACAAAATGAGGCCTGGCAGTACCTGGCTCATGGAAGCTGCTCCTTGGTATGAATGCATTAAAGTCTAGTGGGAAGAAAGAGATGCTTGGTTTTGATACCACCAACCTCTGCCTCTTCATCTATCCCTGGAGTTCACAATTGGGTTTGTGTTGCTACTTACTCCCTTGCCTCATATTGATCATGGGGTAGAAAGGTTCAAGCACCACGATCGTCTGGGCCACAGCCCAAATCAGCTGAGTCCTAAGGCTTAGAATTCAGGGATGTATGTGAATAGAGGTGAATTCTTAACCGAACTCCATGTTCTCTCTTTTTACAGGATTATCCCTCTCTGGGACTGATGACAGAGAAGCTATCCCAGAAAAACATCAATTTGATCTTTGCAGTAACAGAAAATGTGGTCAATCTCTACCAGGTGACTACATCTTCAGGGCTTCCCGGAGTGGGGCCCGTGATGGGTGGAACTGTGTCAGGAAACCAGCGCACATAAGCATTGGCCAGTGTCCCCAACCAGGAGAGCCCCTCCCCCAACCTCTTCCCAGGAGATAATGAGTTCTTTTTATAGTCTCTCCTCCAGCCTTGAACCTAGCAGGATGGGTGTGTTGGTGTTTGCAGAGCCAGAGGGGAATCATTTAGTGAGGGATGGGAGAGGTTCTTTATAATTTTATACTCAAGGCTGAAAAACTGCTAGATTTATTACTGGCAGTGACAGGTAAAATATCCCATCATTCCCTCCATCTTCGCTTCAAGACCCTTGGTCTGATTTGGGAGGGCTTTTGGAGATGACTGTCTTCATTCAGTCAGCCTTGCCCATCTTTGTCTTCCTTCCTAGAACTACAGTGAGCTCATCCCAGGGACCACAGTGGGGATTCTGTCTACGGATTCCAGCAATGTCCTTCAGCTCATTGTTGATGCTTATGGAGTAAGTGTCCTGCCTGGGGATGGGCCTGCTAAGAATCCACCTCACTTGGCATTACGCAGCAGGGCTAGATTTGGGAGTCCTGGATGTTAATCCACCATGCAGCCTTCACTGCCTTCCTCTTATTCTTCTAGACACTGGCAGATGGCCAGCACCAGGAGGAATGCAGCTTTCAGAGAGAGAAATGGCTCATAAAGGAACGCCAAGGAGTATTAGAAGCAATGGGTGAAGAGCTTAGAGAAGGTGGGAAGGAAAAAGAGGCTGGAGATGGTGATGAGGAAGGAGCAAATTGGAGGAAGGATAGGGTGAGGAATAGGGCTCCAACATGAGAGAGTAGAGGGGGGCTGAACCATGGGGAAGGTGAAGTTGGTTAAAAATTAGAAAAAAATGCTACTCTCCAAGGTGAGCAGGACTAGCATTCCCTTTTTGCACGTCATGAGGCTTGCAGGAGGGTGTAGATGGTTTAGATTCTACTCAGACTCACCCATGCAGTCCCCACTGGAGAGAGAGAGGAGCAGGTCTTGGGCTGGAAATATAGTAAGAAACAGGCTCCTGGGGATGCTCTCCTCTGGCGGCTTCTAGGTGAACCTCAGCATCTGGCCCTGCCAGTGTGAATCCAGGGCCACCTGATAGATTTTGCTTGGAATGGAATTGGTTCCTATCCCCTTCCTCTCAGCTCATCTCCTTACCTTCTTCTGCCTGTTTCTGCTTAGAAAATCCGCTCTAAAGTGGAGCTGGAAGTGCGTGACCTCCCCGAGGAGTTGTCTCTATCGTTCAACGCCACCTGTCTCAACAATGAGGTCATCCCAGGCCTCAAGTCTTGTGTCGGCCTCAAGATTGGAGACACGGTGAGGTGGGCTGAGCTGAGCAGGGGATGAAGCTGCACCACTTGCCCCAGCCTAAACCCCCCCACCCCCAGCATCTGGGATCACCCCTCCCCTTCTTTCCCTACAACTTCTTCCTGAAGGTCATAACAAGTTAGATATAATGGAGCTGCCAACCTTTTCCTCCAAGGCTCCTGTTGTCTAAACTTCTCTGTTATGTAAACTTCACCATCAGGATTTTAAAAAAACTTGCATTTAAGTTACCTCTGTTTGTGTATGCCTAGTTGATTGCAAATGCAGATATCTCTTACCTTAAGCCCCTAACCAAGGTAACACCTTTCTTTCCTCTACAATGTAAAGTGACAGTGTTATCTGTACGTATTTATTGAGCACTGACTTTGTGCCAGGCATCATTCTAGGTGCTGAAGATTCACCAGCAAATGGAACCGTCAAAAATACCAAACACCTACTGTCATTGACTTTCAGAATGCAAATGTTCATTTTGCTCCTCCAGTCCCTCTATGGTCTCTATGGCTTTCTTTCCTTAGTGGTTTCTTCTCCTCTGCTTCTGCCTAAAGGGGAGGGGTTGGTGAAGAGGGAAAGAAGCAGAAGGGGGGTAGCTATATCCATATCATCTGTATATCTGTCTCTATCCATCTGTCTGTATATCTATCTATATTCTAGAACATGTACATATACCCTATCTAAGAAATATTGGCCAGAAAGGTGTACGATTGCTCCAGTGATGAAATAACATATGGAAATTAAACAGATCCTGACCCTCTGGTTGGTGACTGTGTGGTGTTGTGTGGTGCAAAATAGTGCTGTGTATGTCTTGCTACAAAGACATATGACATTGTGTCATCAGTCCAGCTAGCTTAGTTGGCTAGAGCAGAATGTTTATAAGATCACAGGTTCTGTTCTGCTTGAGCTGGCTTATTTTGTGTGTGGAATTAAGAAAACCCTAGCCTCTCTTATGACTGTAAATCATATCTGTGCACCCAGATATAACTGGACAACTGTCCCCAGGCTCTTTTTTTTAAAATTTTTATTTATTTATTCATGAGAGATAGAGAGAGAGGCAGAGACACAGGCAGTGGGAGAGGCAGGCTCCATGCAGGGAGCCTGACGTGGGACTCGATTCTGGGTCTCCAGGATCAGGCCCTGGGCTGAAGGCGGCGCTAAACCACTGAGCCACCCGGACTGCCCTGTCCCCAGGCGCTTCTTTTTGCTTTGCAGACCTGGGTAGTGGGGAAACTGAGGAACTCCAGATTTCTGGGGGTTGGACATTCCCTGGACAGGACAGGGCACAGCTTCTCTCCCCTGGGGCCAGAGTGTAAACAGGGTCCACCCATGTCTGAATGTGATCTTCCTTTCCTCCCAGGTGAGCTTTAGCATTGAGGCCAAGGTGCGAGGCTGCCCCCAGGAGAAGGAGAAGTCCTTCACCATCAAGCCCGTGGGCTTCAAAGACAGCCTCACCGTCCAGGTCACCTTTGACTGTGACTGTGCCTGCCAGGCCCAGGCTGAGCCTTCCAGTCACCGCTGCAACAATGGCAATGGGACCTTTGAGTGTGGGGTGTGCCTCTGTGGGCCTGGCTGGCTGGGGTCCCAGTGTGAATGCTCAGAAGAGGACTATCATCCCTCCCAGCAGGACGAGTGCAGCCCCCGGGAGGGCCAGCCCGCCTGCAGCCAGCGGGGCGAGTGCCTGTGTGGCCAATGTGTCTGCCACAGCAGTGACTTTGGCAAGATCACGGGCAAGTACTGCGAGTGTGATGACTTCTCCTGTGTCCGCTACAAGGGGGAGATGTGCTCAGGTGAGTACAACTGCCTGCCCTCCTATCCCTGGATGCACTCTCGCTCACACATTGGCAGCCTCTGGAAACTTTAGGCCAGGGCTTAGGTAGGCACAGGAAGGCCCGGCAGACAGAGCCGAGTGGATGGTGTTCCACTCCCACAACGGAAAACAGAAGGAGGCTCTCTTTAATTCCTCTCAGCTCCCTGAGTCCTTGTTCCTGGGGCACACACAGAAGTGGAAGTGAACTTCTGCTCCAGGGGACTTCTCTCCTAGAATAGCATGGGGAGGAGTGGGGAAGCTTGAAGGTGAAGACAGCTTTTTTTTTTTTTCTTTTCTTTCGTCTGCCCTTTTGGTAATACTTTAAGTCATTGACTCCTAATCGTTTGAAGGATATGGACCAACCCCCTTTTTTTAGGTAAAAAAAAAAAAAAAAAAATCACTGACTGATAGTAATTGGATTTTTAGTAGTTACAGATTTCGAAATTTCATGCTATCAGAATATATAGTAAAATTAGTAATAATTATTTTACATGAATTTGTCTTTTCATCATAAGACTTGGAAAATAGTAAAAAAGGAAGACAATTGAGCACATTTAGTGAGGCAATATGCTTGGAACAAAGGCTGGAAAATTATATATGTACTATATGTTGGCACTATTTTGTTATCATTATTGGCAGTGCTATTGCTTTTTGGATTCTAGGCCTGTGCTGTCAAATATAGTAGCTACATGTGGCTATTTACACTTAAATTAAGCAAATTGAATTATAACTTAAGTAAAATTTAAACATTTAAATTCAATGAAAAATGAAAAATTCAGTTCCCCTTTTGCTCAGGAACTATTTGTGGCCAGTGGCTGGTGTGCTGGACAACACATAAATTGGAAATCATTGCCATTGAGAGGTCCAGCCTACAGATGGAGGACTATGATTTTGAGTCCTTCTACCTCAGGATACTGAGTTTTTGTCCTTCTCATTACAAAATTAAGTAAGATCTTGAGGACCATGGAAAATCTCAAGCTGGTTTTTTTCTTGCTCCAAAGACCATTTCTAGGATACTTCCCCAGCTAGAAGAAGTCAAACTGATATGAGCGTAGTCTTTATCTGCAGACACGCTGACAGTACTCTCAGAGGCAAATAGGCAGTTCTGAGTAGTTCTTGGGGCACTGGGGATAGGTTTTTGCTGGGTTATGATCACTGAGGCTTGATGCCTCTTGTGACAGAGAGATTGAAGACATTTGCAAATTGGTTGGGATTGGTTTATGGGTATATTTTGTAGCCAATCAACAGAGATTATAATTGGCTTTTATGGTGATCAGATCTATGACTCAGATTGACTTCCTTTGCATTCTGAATGCAAAGGAAGCTTGATTAGAGGGGCATCTGGGTGGCTTGGTTGGTTAAGCGTCTGTCTTCTGCTCAGGTCATGATCCTGGAGTCCTGGGATGGAGCCCCTGCATAGGGTTCCCTGCGCAGTGGGGAGTCTGCTTCTCCCCCTGCCACTCCCTCTCCCCCTCCCTCTGCTATGTGTGCTCTCTCTCTCTCTCTCTCTCAAATAAATAAATAAAATCTTAAAAAAGAAAGCTTTATTTGAAAGGTAAATCTGTCATTCTAAAGCATGGCCAAGTAACATAAGAATGGCTTATTTTTAAAATTTATTAAAAGATTTTATTTATTCATGAGAGACATAGAGAGGGAGGCAGAGACATAGGCAGAGGAAGAAGGCAGCTCCATGCGGGGGTGCCCATTGTGGGACTCATCCGATCCCAGGACCACGGGATAATGACCTGAGCCGAAGGCAGACATTCAACCACAGCCACGCAGGTGCTCTGCTTATTTTTATTATCTGCCACATTATTTCCTTTACTCATGTCAACAAAATTTGAGAGAGAGCTTGCAGAGAAATAACATCAGGGAGATGAGGGGAGAGAGAATGAGAGCAGGTACAGACACGCATACACATACAAACAGCAGTTTGAATTAGGGGCTGAGGCAGGAATTTCAGCTCATTTTAATATTTAATAGTACTTACATCATATTCAAAGCACCAAAGGGAATGAGTAAGTTTGATGTGGGAGACCATGTGGAGAAGCTTGGGACTCAGGGGGAGAGGGTGGTCCTAGGAGAGGCCTACAGACAGCCCCTTGGGGGCACCAGGGACAGAGGGAGGTCTACTATTCCTTTGCCTCATGGTTCCTGGTCTGGTGTGATGCAGGGTGGGAGGGATCCTATCCAGCAGATCCTTCTGCTGCTGGCTGCACTGAAGCCATAAAACAAAGCTGCCTGGGTCAGCAGCCTGCTTCCTGCCTCCTACTGGTGCAAGAACAGCTCGTCCCCAGTGTGCGCTCCAGCTTAACTCATGAGGGAACCCCGGCCAGCCGCAGTCGTCTCTGAGAGGCCTTCCTTACCCTGCTTCCAGACAGAGTGTTATGTGCTTCCTGGTTTCAGGTCTGGATCCTGTGGTGCCACCATCATACTCTCCAGTAACAGATACTCAGGGACACACACTTATTGAGCACCTGTTCTGTGCCAGGCACTTGGTCCCTATGGGTGAACAGGGGTCATGTGTGATTCCTGACCTGTCAGCTTGTAGACTGGTTCACCATTGTCTCTCCCCAGAGCAGCTGGCCTGTGGTCTGTTTTTTGCTGCAAGCTGGCTCAGGAGGGTGGCACGCTATGACTTAGCTATTTCCCCAGCTCTGGCCTTCTCCCTCCCCGCCCCTTCCCCCCCTCCCCACTGGGGCATGGTCTTTGTGGTTACATGTTCTCAGCACTCCTGCCCCAAACATCAGGGAGTGCATCCTTGTCCTTAAGGGACTCTCATTCCTGCCACATCCATGAGCATAGATTGACTAGGTACCCTGAGCCACCCCTGAGTTCTGTGCTGTAGTGTTGTGGGATAGAGAGACACAAATAAGAGTTTTGCCCTTAATTAACTTACCTAAAGATAATTCACAACATGAGGCAGAACCTGCCAAATCTTGGAAGTGAGGTGTCCTTGGGGAATAGTCCTAGGAGTTCTGGGAGTTCTAGGAGTCCACTGGAGAGAGACTCTGTAGACAGAGGAAGCCTGGGTGGCTTCATGGAGGAAGTGGAGGGCTGTCTCATAAAGCTGAAGAGTGGAGCTAAGCGTCAGCCCAGAGGGTCAAGCTGCATAGGGAGAGTAGTTGCATTCCCTGGGACCTGAAATGCCTGCTCCTGCCTTTCCCCTCCCCTTCTCTAAGCTCTACCCCTCCCCTGCTGCCTTCTTTTCTATTTCCTTCCTCTCTCTTACACTTTCTTTTCATTCCTTGCTCCCTGCTCTGACTTTCCTGTGAACCCAGGCTCAGCCACCCTTTTGCTGGAGGGGTGCCAGTCCTGTGGCATTACCACACTGTGGCTTCTTTCAAGGGCTGACCCTCCCAGGGCTTGGGATCCGCCTGCTGAGTCTAGCCTGCCACAGCCTTACCCACTGGCTTGCCTGGCACATCATCTTCTCAAAGATTACTTTGTTTGGTCCCACAGAGGAAACACTATGGGACAGGGGTTTCTGAGGAGGCTGAGGCCTCTCAGTGTTGCCAATGCTCTGTGGGGTTGCCTTTCCCTGTCCAGGACCTATGGTTAAAAGCTGGTTGTAGTGGACACTGGGGCCCCCCGCTCTCCTGGCTATCACTGGGGAGCAGAAGGTGCCAGCTAGTGGCTGATTGAGCCTGCCTATGCACCTCTCTCTCTCCTCCACCATCTTGGGACCCATTGGCTCACACAAGTGGCATGGTTTTCAGACCCAATTGAAGTTACTTCCGCCTTGCTCCCTGCCTTTCCTCTGATTAACAATCAGATTTTTATTATTCATCCACTTCTTCCTGATTCAGAATCCTTGAGAATGAGTCACCTTTTCTTCCAAGTTTGGGAGCCAAGTTTTCAAGCCTTGTTAAATGCTTAGGGGGAATGTAGCACTGGATGTTAACACCTGCATTTAACCAACCTAACCCCCGCCCCAGCCCTCTCTCTCCCATTCCTACACTCATGCAGTAGAGTGAATAGGTCTTCCCTTCTAGGGCTGATGGCTCTTGGCAATGATCATGCAGCTTGGGGTACATGCTGGTGAATGTGTGTATGTTTTCCAGGAACTGGGGAGATTAACTCCATGGAAATAGAGACCTTGTGCGTCTTGTTCACTGCCGAATCTCCAGTGCCCCAGCATGAACTCAATAAATATTTGTTGAGTAAAGGAATATATAAGTAAACAAACATTGACTGCATGCCTACTCTGTTTCAGATGTTATGCTAATCACTACTGATGACAAATTGATATGGGTCCTCTCCCGTTGGGGAGGTCATGATCTAGAAAGAGAAACAGATAGGGAAACAAATGGGCTGACTGTAAGGGTTAAAATAAAGGTATACGCAAGTGCCAGGAGAACACATGACAGTTGATTTGCCCTGGGGAGGATGGAAGGAAAGTGTGGAAGGTGGTGAACCACTTGGTGTGGTGCTAATGAGTGGTGGCAGGAGGACAGTAGAGGAAGGTAGAGCAGGGAGCAGGCTGAGCCACGGGGTGGGGACCCTCACCTGCCACCTGCCCCCTTGGGCTGTGTGCTTCCAGGCCATGGCCAGTGCAGCTGTGGGGACTGCCTGTGTGACTCCGACTGGACCGGCTACTACTGCAACTGTACCACGCGCACTGACACGTGCATGTCCAGCAACGGGCTGCTTTGCGGCGGTCGGGGCAAGTGTGAGTGTGGCAGCTGCGTGTGCATCCAACCTGGCTCCTACGGGGACACCTGCGAGAAGTGCCCCACCTGCCCTGACGCCTGCACCTTTAAGAAGTGAGTAGGCAGAGAAGTGAATAGGAGAGAGCTGGGTGCTGGAAAGATGGAGAGGGTACCTCAGACTGGAATCTAGCCCCCACCCCCCATCCCTCCAGGGCCTGTCTCTTACTCACCAAAGCTTTAGGAAGAGGAATCTGCTGGGGAGGAGTCTACTTTCCTCTTTCCACTGAAAAGTTTGGGCAAAGTTGGAGGGAGAGCCAACCCTGCAGGGTCCAGGGTAGTTCCCATGGGACTCTAGTTGGAGAAACAGTTCCCTGGGCTGCCATTCCTGAATCCCTGAGTTGGGAGGAAGGCTAAACCAGGGAGCTTCTGGAGAATGTTCCACTGCTAATGTACTGATTCTGGGGGAGATGTGGGCTGGAGTTATGAAGGACGCTGTGAGATGGGAGAAGGTCACCAGCACAAACTGCACTCATCTGGGGGTCAAGGATGCCCTGCCATTTCTTTTGCTACTTTATTTATTTTTTTTAATTTTTATTTATTTATGATAGTCACACAGACAGAGAGAGAGAGAGAGGCAGAGACATAGGCAGAGGGAGAAGCAGGCCCCATGCACTGGGAGCCCAACGTGGGATTCGATCCCGGGTCTCCAGGATTGCGCCCTGGGCCAAAGGCAGGCGCTAACTGCTGTGCCACCCAGGGATCCCTCTCTTGCTACTTTAAACAGGGCTAGACTCATGGGTGCACAGTCTGTGCATTTGTACAGTGCTCTGTGCTTAGAAGGGGCCTACACTTGGTATACCACTCTGCTAGCACTGTCTTATAATTCTTAGTAATTTTTGAACAAGGGACCTGACATTTCCTTTTGCACTGGGCCCCCAGACTATGTGACTGGGTCTACCTTTAAGGCTTCCCAAACTGGCGTAGGCTTCATTTCCTTTCATACTCTCTCAAATGGGACATGAAGAAGTTTAATGAGAGTGCTGAGGTCCTCTGTCTGCCAGGCCTCTCACTCTGAAATCCAGAGTTGACCCTCTGGGCTCCCAGGATTGTTTTACAGGTGTTTATTTTCTGCGGCGGAGCAGCTTTTTGGTGTGTGGGGGTCAGAGCCAGACAGACTGTGTAGGCTTGCTTCTCCCTTGTCTTACTCTTGGTGTCCTCTCTCTTTTAGGGAGTGTGTGGAGTGTAAGAAATTTGACCGAGGAGCTCTCCATGATGATAATACCTGCAACCGTTACTGTCGTGATGAGATTGAGTCTGTGAAGGAGCTTAGTAAGTTCAACATGTCTTAGAGTTGCGTGCATGCACACACACACACACACACACACACACACAGCTTCTAGAGTTTTTCAGTTAATCCCAGCATCTGTCCAACACTCATCAGTAACATGGAAGAGTAATTCCCACCTCAGAGGCATGTTGTGCAGACCTGATGCACAGTAGGCACTTCATAAAAGCTGGCTTCCCTGAATCCTCTTGCACCTCTACTAATTTATTTGTTTCATGGTCCCTCCCCATTCTGCTTCCCAGCACCCACAGATGCAGCAAGATCCTACAAATAGCTTTTTTTTCCCCTACAAATAACTTTTAAATAACTGATTTCAGGCAACCCTAACTTTACCTCCCCAAGAAAGAGAAGACAGTGCATTCTATTTGACAGATGGAGAAACTGAGGCACAGAGTGACAGTCATCCTTTTAGTAAGCTAGTAAGCATTTACCAAGTTTAATTAACTAAGAGTGTTAAATGATATCCAGGTATGCAGCTTTGCTGGTTTGGAGGGAAACCTTCACCCTTATGGATTTATAGCTAAAATAATTATGCTGGGGCCCTTCTTGGAATAAGACAGATAAAAATACAGTGAGGAGGAAGACTCTTGCTTGCAGTTATTCTGATTTGCACTTTACCTTGACTTAAAAGGAGATAATCTTTCCTGCTGTCAGCAAATCTGGTAAGATTTCTGGGTCAGCTAGGCATTGGCTGGTTCCAGGGAGATAGATGGTAATCTCTCCTGAGATAGCCATCTCCTATGAAGGCAGAAAACATGTTTTTTAGTGACAGCCACAGTAAGACACAGCCAGCTTCTGGCTGTGGCTGTTACAGAAAATGGTCAGATCTCTGAACCCTTTGGCTAATATCATAAGTGGGGCTGGGAGTGGGGGTAGGGATTTGGGGATTGAATTTGAAGAGACAGCCTTTTCTCTGGAGGAGATAGGGTATATGCTATGATTAGTTTAGGGGGCAGAGACTGCTGAGAGAGATGTGAGATGTTTTTATTACCTAGACTAGTTGTATATCACGGGTTAGCTTTTACCCCCTCCCCCATGCCATGATAATAATCAAAATGAATGCTTGTTTATGGATTGTATAACTTATACAAGTTATGAAGGTGTCCTTTCATAATACAGTCTTACCCTTTCCTCAACCACCTAGTAAAGTAGAACTGTAGTATTGTTGTTACCTTCATTTTGCAGATGAGGAAATGGAATCTCAGGAAAGTTACACAACTTGCCCGAACAAGTTAAGCTTAGAACTAAATCTGGAAATCCTTACCCTTTCTGTTGTTTTCTTATACCACTGGTTTTCTGAAGGCTTGTGGAGTTCAAGTCTGTAGTATGTGCTCTGAGACTCATGTTTGCATTCTGCTCTGTCAGGTACTTGTGATGTGACCTTGGGACATTTGCTTAACCTCATCTTGTGTCAGTTTTACTCATCTGGCTTCATCACTGTAGGGCATAGTGCAGCTGATGGAGGGGTACATATAGTTTCCCTGTCAGGATAAGAGGTTTTAGAATCAGAAGGGGTGAAGCCTACAAAATGTGATGGGAGGCAGAGAAGAGGGGGTGGCTCTAGAGGGGAATGTTGGATCAGAAGTAACAATGGAAGAAATATAAATGCTGAGTCAACAAACTATTAAGAATTGTTGGACAAGCAGAGAAAGGAAAGAGAGGGAAGAGATCACCCACTGTGTGTTAGGTACTGTTTACTTTAAGCCACTTAGTTCTCTACCAACCTTTTGAGGTAGAGTATCATTTTCTTTTTTTAGATCAAGGAGATAGCTGATGAGGTCAAGTTACTTTTCCAGCATTACACAGCCAGCAGGTGGTAGAGCTTTGAATCAGACCATGTAACATGTTATGTCCTTTTTGAAGGAAGGAATAAGAACCTAAAAGCGTCAGGGAGGAACAAAATACAGAAGTGAGAGTCATCTAGAGGCAATTTCCAGGCCATCTCAAATCTAGGCATCTTGCCTAATGTTAGACATAGTGTTTATATACTTTCTCAGAAGTTTCATGACTGGGGTTTGGGAATGATTCCATCTTCCAGGAATTGACTCGCTTTTCATTCTCCCATCTTTTCCCTTCCTTAGAGGATACTGGCAAGGACGCAGTGAATTGTACATACAAGAATGAGGATGACTGTGTCGTCAGATTTCAGTACTATGAAGACTCCAGTGGAAAGTCCATTCTCTATGTGGTAGAAGAGCCAGGTAAGTGAACCCTGAGGGCCATGTTAGGCAGTAGTTTCCCCCTATTCCTCTACTTATACAACAGCTAGGTTAAAACTGACCTTACAAGTGATAAGTTAGGGCCTGTCATTTGGGTATGGATAATATTTAAATACAAATGTTAGTGACAAAGTGACTTTGCTAATTGAGATAGAAAAATAAGAAGGTGGGTAAGGAAAAGAAGAAGGTAGAGGGGCACCTGGGTCATTCAGTTGTTTAAGTGTCCGACTTGATTTTGGCTCAGGTCATGATCTCAGGGTTGTGGGATTGAGCCCCACATCAGACTATGCACTTAGCATGGAGTCTGTTTGAAATTCTCTCCCTCTGCCCCTCCACCCGTTCATGCTCTCTAAATAAATAAATAAATAAATAAATAAATAAAATTTTTTTTTAAAGGAAGGTAGATATAGATCCCATGAAGGGACAAAATGTATCATGGCATTTTTTGAGGTGGCAGTGTTAAGAAGTAAGGAATTTAAAGTCTAGTGCTTTTCAGCATCTGCTCTATTAAAAGTTAGGTGGTTGCCAAGAGCAACCAGCCTGCAGCTTCAGAGGAAGGCCTCATGTTGACCTTACCAGGTTGACCATGAGACATGGTACTGGATTTGAGGCACCAAGCTAAGGTGCCCTGAACACTGAAAAGATAGGCCTCTGGAAGCAGGAGGAGCTCATCTATCATACACAGACCAACTGCAGGTTTGTCACCATCTAATACAATAAATTTGCTTGCTTCCCCTTACTACCTCTGTCTCCTTCCTTTCTCTTAAACCACAGACTAAACTATGAATCATTAGAAAATATATTCGAGTACTTATTATATATCAGGCAGTGGACTAGGTTCTGGGAATGTAACAATAAATAAAGCAGATGTGGCACTCACAGGTCAGGGGAAAGGAGCACATAAATTGATTATGACACCTGCTGAGGGGCAAGGGCTATGGTATGGCAGAGGGTAGATAAGAATTTATGGAAGTGAAGGATCAGTGTCTGAAGGCAGAGACTAAATCTCAGTTGATTGCTTGACATTCTTAACAGCTGTAGGAATTTCTTCAAATCTTCCTTCAGACCAGTGTCCAGCAAACTCTTTCTGCCAAGGACCATGTAAGTATATTAGGCTTTGTGGTCTCTGCCATGACTACTCTGCCATTGTACCTGGAAAGCAGCAATACGTTTAATGCATGAGCCTAAGTATATTTACAAAAACAGGTAGTAAGCCACATTTGGCTCCCAGACCATAGTTGGCTGGCCCCTGCCTTAGAAAAATGGGTCTCAAACTTTTGTATTGTTGTTAAAATCCAAAGTCCTGGGACACCTGGGTGGCCTAGTGGTTGAGCACCTGCCTTTTTAGCTCAGATCGTGATCTTGGAGTCCTAGGATCAAGTCCCACATCTGGTTCCCTGTGGGGGTTCCCTGCTTCTCCCTCTGCCTATGTCTCTGCCTCTCTTTCTGTGTCTCTCATAAATAAATAAATAAAATCTTAAAAAAAAAATCCAGAGTCCTGAGCCCTGTCCTACTTCCATGAGCTTCTGTGTTCTTGGTTAGTGCTCCTGGCAGATGTGATACACCCAATATTTGAGTGCTTCTGTTTTGGACACATCACTTCCCCTAGTGAGCCTTTTCAGACTGCCTCCAGCATCCATTTTGCTGATTTGGTTGGGTGCTCCTATTTGCTTCTCAAAGCAGCTATGCTTCCCTTAGAAGGGCCTTCATCAGACCATTAAATTGCATCTTTAGTCACCCATCTCCCTCAGTAAATCACAAGTTCCTGGAACACAGGAACTGTCTTTCTTATCTATTGTTATATCCATATTTGGCTCAGTCATCTACAGAGAAGATATTTAACGGTTTTTGAATGAATTAATAGGACTTACTATTTCTAGGAGACAGGCAGACTTGTATACATCTTGATATCTGCTGGGAGAATTTTCGCTGCTTGGAGAAGGAAAGGGGTGAGAGTGGGAAGAAACTCTGCCTCATCTGTGTCAGCCAGGGTGTTGCTGGCCCCATGGGTAGAGAAGAGCATGGTGCCCCCCTCTGTGATATTGTTCACCAGCCTTTCCCAGGGCTCTCACCCTTTAGAAGGGAGAAGGAAGGTAAAGAAAGGGAATGGCCTTAGCTTTATTTACTGATGCAAGGTGAAGCTGACATGGGAAGGGGAGAGGGAAGAGTCTGGATATGTATCTGTGGGGGAGCAGATGTGGATTACTTGGTCATGACTCCTCACACTTTCCCATCCACCTCTGTTAACATATTTCATGGATTTTTCCATACCCACCCTATCTGCACCTTTGTCCTTTCTCATTTCAGAAGAGTGGTAGGTTCTTGTTTTGGGGTTTAACATCACTTTATCTCTTTCCTTTATGTTTTATTTTTATTTTTTTTAAAGATTCTATTTATTTATTGACAAGAAACACACACACACACACACACACACAGAATGGCAGAGATGCAGGCAGAGAGATAAGCAGGTTCCATGCAGGGAGCCTGATGTGGGACTCAATCCTGCATCTCCAGGATCACGCCCTGGGCCAAAGGCAGATGCTCAACCACTGAGCCACACAGGAATCCCACTTTATCTCTTTTCTACAATAATCCTTGCTGGTACTTCTGCTATATCACTTACCAAAATCTTTTGACCTGATGTTCTTAGACTGGAGCCCATTACTGGGAGTTGTGGGAAACAAAGATAGTGATAACCTGAGCTGGTACAAGTAACCCTTGGTGGGGTGGTAACTTTTCTGATATAGTTCCTTTTCTCCACATTAGGAGATGGGATCCCAGACCTACATTTCCTTTCTTGTTGCCCTGGAATTCCAAGTTCTGCCTCCCCTCTCACCTACTACCTCCTACCATTTTCAGGGGTTCTGGCTTCAAGCAGAATGTAGTACTTCATATCCTGGAGTATAGAAGGAGATTATTCTCATTCTCTTCCATAACTCATGATCATGCCCATGCAGATGCTCTCCCTGAAGGGCTGGGCCACTTCAGGGCAATAGAGCACTGGCAGAGGGCTTGGCATTGGCTGGGTGGTGTTCGACCTCCATGGAGTGGGATCCCCTGAGGTGAGCCCTCTCACTTCCAGATAGGGTTGCCTGGTAAATACAGTATATCATATGCAATATTTAGTACATATTTAGGCTAAAAAGTCATTCATTGCTTATCTGAAGTTCACATTTAACTGGATTCCTTATACTTTTGTCAAATCTGCTCGTTCTACCCAGCCTTTCTTGACCTCAGGTCCCTCACCATGGGTCCTCATCACTGTGGCTAGGAGAGCTCTCTAAAGACCACCTGATCTTGTCTTCTGCTTCCAGGAAGCCTGCCATCCACCCCTTTCAGGACAGATGCTTAAAAGATGTTTTTCCCCCGAAGACCTCTTGACATTCTACCTGTCCTGCCCATACTGATATGCAGAATTAAAGAGATTTCACTTTGAGGTTTGAGGGTCAGCCCTATCTTCTAGAGAATTCTTAATTATTTTTCACAGAACTGAGGCCCTTCACTCTTGGGAACTCAGACACTGAGACCTCAGCCTCTCTCCAGATGCCCCTTTAATTATAGACAGGTTATAATTTGGTGGCTTGGGAAATAGCCAGCTTGGGTTTGTGTTGGTGGTTGTTTTTGGATTGTTTGTGGTGAGCACAGTATACATGTTTAGAGAAGAAGGTGGGAGACAGTGTGGAAAGTGGGTGTGACCACCTCTCCAGACCCATCCATATTCACATATCCAAACACCTAATTACATAACACCTGAGAAGTCACTGAAGTGAGGTCACCCATCACACACCCGTGGTTAATGGGAAACAGAGCTCTGTGTAGCACACTCAGCTTGGCCCTCAGAGGGGTGACGCACCTCTGTCTGTTTTGGTTGTTGGCTGGGGTTGAAAAGGAAGTCAGCTCTCAATAGGGTTAGGATTTTAGATGATGAAATATTTTGGAAAGGAGCCCAAAATATTGTCTTGGTTGGCAGGCCTCCTGATCTCTAAGTGTGCTAATAAGGTCAATAGGTTCCCCGCCCTCAGGGATGTGCATATCTGAGTCAAGGTAACAAACACAAATACCTCCAGGAACTAGGCAAATAAATTAGTGAAAACTGTCGGATTTAGCAAGAACAGTAATAACAGTACAGTAATAACAGTAATAACAGTAGCTGAAATTTATTGAGCACTGAGTCTCTGTCAGCAGTGTTCTAAATTCTTTAAATATATTTAACTTAATTATTTTTCTAAGTTTTGGAGATCAGTGCTATTAATTTCTATATTTTAAACATGGAGAAATAGGAAACAGACACCCAGAAAGGTTAAATAACAAAGCAAAGGAAGTGGTAAGCCAAGATTCAAACCCAGGCAGTCTATCTCCAGAGCCCAAGGTAGCATGGCCTCAATGACAAGTTACATGTTGCTTCTGTTTAGTGGAGAAAGAGAATGATGAGCTCTGGCCAACCAGAAAATGTATCCCATTTACATTTACATGTATCTAAAGGGGACAGCTGCTCCTCACATCCAATCAGGGCTGCCCTGTGGGTTCCATGTTTCCAGACCTTTTGCTTTATTTTTTATACTTTGATTGATTATTGTTTTTTAAAGCAAAGAAGAAGAATCTGAAATTTTAGGGGGAGAATCTCCTGATTATTCAATGTTGCCAACAAAATCAAATTTTTTATTTTTTAATTTTCTTTGATATTTTATTTATTTATTTATTTATTTATTTATTTATTTATTTATGAGAGAAAGAGAGAGAGAGAGAGAGAGAGAGAGTCAGAGACACAGGCAGAGGGAGAAGCAGGGTCCATGCAGGGAGCCTGATGCGGGACTTGATCCCGGGTCTCCAGGATCACGCCCTGGGCTGAAGGCGGCGCTAAACCGCTGAGCCATCCGGGCTGCCCAAAATCAAATTTTTTAAATTAAGTTTTCATGTTAATTCCAGTGTAGTTAACATAAAATCAGATTTTTAATAAACACTTGCATAGGTTGGGTTCTGCCATGGGTGACCTGCTTATGACCTCTGATGTAAACCACTCAGGAGAGACTATTGCTGTCTTAAAGATTGACACTCCTTCCTTTAAAAAATTAGTTGATGCATTTTATAAGTCTTGTTTCCTTCAGAGAATCTTCTAATAATTTCTTAGTTTGTCAAGAAATTCACAGCCAGTTCAAGTGACTTCTGCTGCATTCATAACATCTCTGCTCTATGCTTTCCTCTCACAGAGTGTCCCAAGGGTCCTGACATCCTGGTGGTCCTGCTTTCAGTGATGGGGGCCATTTTGCTCATTGGCCTTGCTACTCTGCTCATCTGGAAGCTCCTCATCACCATCCATGATCGGAAGGAGTTTGCTAAATTTGAGGAAGAGCGAGCCAGAGCAAAATGGGACACAGTAAGAGGCTGGGCTGGGCATTTTCTTCAGTCATTGGTTTGAGAGCCTCAAGTAGAAACAGTAGATGTGTAGGGTGGCCAGGCTCAGCTAGCCCATAATTTTCCAGTTAGCCTCTGTTCTGGAAATTGGGAGATGGTCCCATTGTCCTTATTATTCCTGGAAACCACCCAATTCCCTCTCTACCCCATAGTGACCACGGGCCACATCGGTGAGTACTGACGGAACATACATAGGGCCCAGCTCTGCTCTGGACACTGATGCAATGAAATGCAGTGACTTATTCTCCAATTGAGGAAGACAGGACAAACTTGTGAATCCTACACTGAGAACATATAATGCATTATATACCGATGAAGTCCAAAGCATTAAATACAAACAGGAAAAAAAAAAGCTAGCTAACTTTTGCTGAGGATTCACTTCTTCCATCCCTATAACAGCCCAGGATAGGAAGCAGTGTTATTATTCCCATTTTATAGATAAGGAAATTGAGCACAGAAAGTTTAAACACCTTGCCCTATTGTGGGAGGGAATTAAGTTATGATAGGAATTACTTTTTGGGCCAGCCTCTTAATAAATATTCTCCCTGCAGTTTATTCTGATAGAATTAAATGAAAGAAGCATCTACTGAGAACTTTCTGTATACTTAATTTTTCTCTGTTCTCCTTTGGCTCATCTTCCACATTTTAACTTTTTCCTGGGCCTTCCAAATGGCTTTTGACTCCATCAATGTCCAGGGGGAGGCTGAAAGTTTGTTCCCATTTGATAGTGACTTCAGGCCTTTGTACCCAAGAGCCTCAAGAAACTTGAGATGCTTCTGTTAGTGCAGTGTAGAAATCTGGAACCTCTGAGGAATATGAGAATATGTTGTATTTCTTGAAATGACTCCTAAAGGCTACCAGATCCTATGGGATTTGTCACTTTTTGTTAGAAAATAATTTGGGTCGTGGTGCCTTAGTGGTGCCGTTGGTTTGACATGTGACTCTTGGTTTCAACTCAGGTCATGATCTCAGGGTTGTAAGACAGCCCTTGTGTCAGGCTCTGTGCTTAACACAGAGTCTGCTTTAGAGTCTCTCCCTCTTCCCTCCCCCCAAATAAATGAATAAATATTAAAAGAAAAGAATTTGGGAAACCCAGTGAGGGTTTATTTTTAACTGCCAACATGACAATATGTGGACAGTGCATGGAGGGATGAGATGAGAAAATTTAATTTTAAATTCAAATTAAATTAAAATTGTAACAAATTATATTATTCTGGGCAAATGCTGTCTTCTCGATTTCAAATATCAGCTATCAGCTGCTACATTTCCGATCTCTGCCCACATCCCCAGCACTGTCAAACCAAAAAATGGGGAGAAGAGCAAAAGAGAGAGTTCAGGAGAGAGGCAAGAGATCAATACTGGTGAAAAGAGATCCTGAAATGTTTGGTGATCATCAAAAAGTAATGGGCTGGATTCAACCTCTTAGACATAGCCCCAGAATGGCATTCCCCCTTCTCTCTGCTCTTCTTTTCTATCCCCTCCCATCTTCAGAGTGAATATGGGGGTACAATGAACATTAAGTGGTTCGTCAGTGGTATATCCCACTCAGAGAAGGGTGTCTTGGGTAAACTTTTCACATGAAATGTAACCCTTGGAGGGTAGGGAAGAGTCAAGGAATTTGCTGTAAGACACTTCTCTGTTCTTTCCACAGGCCAACAACCCATTGTATAAAGAGGCCACATCCACTTTTACCAACATCACCTACCGGGGCACTTAACACCAAGGAGCCATCCTCAGATCACTATCAGTCTGTCCCAGAATTGTGGACATCTCTGCTGTCATGTTTACAGGGAACAGTATCTGTGGGGCGGGATTGGGGGCTGGTTGTGGGGTGGGTTGGAGGAACGGCAGCATGTGGAGGTATGGCTCTCTGTGTGTGTGTGTGTTTGTGTGAGTGTGCTGTGTGTGGGGGAATGTGTAATTTAAAGCTTGTGGTGTGTCCCAGGTCAGCGGAACTCCTCAGCCTTTATCCACAGAATGCCTCCTTCAGGGATCTTTCCTGCTTAACCTGAGGGTGACATAGCTGAGCAGGTGTTCATTACCTCAGTGAGAAGCCAGCTTTCCTTTCCAGGCCATTTTTTCTGAAGAGAAGGGCAGGGCTGAGTCTCTCATTCCAGAGGAAGCGGCCTTGATTCTACTTTGAGTTTATGGTTCTCAGGCCTGACTCTCAGTGGCTCTGATAGCAACTGCTGCTGGGCTTGGCAGTCTTGTGTCAGCTGGGCCTTTATCTCCTTTCCCTTCCCTCAGGCTGAAGAAGAAATCAGAGGCAAGCTGAACCATCAGAGTTGCCTGTGCCTTTTGCCATCACCTCAATCCAGTATGGTTCCCTCATAAAGGGAGTCCTTGCTAGCAATTGTGTTGGGAGTGAGGATGGTAGGGCTACTCAGGGGTCGTGCATGGCCTGGATGAATGTGCCAGGGTCCCCAGTTCATAATCATAACTCTTAATATTTGTCTCATTGGCAGCTCCACCCTAGAAGTTCGTTTAGAAGAAGTGCGTCACCCTTAGACCAGCATCACTTCTTTACCTTCCACTTCCACACTCTCACTACTGTAAACATACTGGGAATTTCTTTCATGACCAAATGCTTTTCCTCCCAGGGTGAGTGCTACGATTAGAGCCTGAGGTCTGGCCCCACTCTTCAGGCCCTCCCCGCCTTGTCCAAGGCACCTCCACGCCTTGTCCAAGGCACCTCCACACACCCAACCTGGTGCTAACGTGCGCTACATTCATCCATGCGGCTGATTACACTTATCTACCTCTTGGCTGTCTTGTGAATGAATAGTTCCCATGGGTCTCTGAGTCTGCTGGGCATAAGTGCCACATTTGGAATGATGGGCCAGTTGTATCAGCATGTGTGGCCTATTCTCCTATGGGCTGGGCAACCTCATTTTAACTCAGTCTTTAATTTGGGAAGCTGTGAGTGCAATTTTATTTTATTTTTTCATTGGGTCACCTGAAACCATGATGAGGCTTGTTTAATCTAAAGGAATATGTATATAAACACACTTGCATATACTTGTAATTTTATTTGATGGTGAGGAGGGAGAATGTTAAAAAAAAAAAAACCTACACAGACTTGGACTGGATTCAAACCCTCCCACTTGGCATCATTCATAGCAAGTTGCTGCCCAGTTGCTAGGTCTGTAAGGGCCCTCTCATTCTGGAAGCCTTTGGGGATGGACCCATGGGCATGTTGGGCTCTTTCTAAGGAGATGGAATACAGGCTGTTCTTTTTTCCTAGCCATACAGTAGCTCCATTGGTGTTTACCTTAGTCTAACATTAACAACTATCTTCACTGCCATTCATCAAGAAAAAGGGAAGGACCTATACACAGTGGTCTGATGATCCAAGAAATCTAAGCCCTAGCCTCAGTATTGCAGCTAAGGAATTTTTAACTTCGATTAAGGCAAGTCTCCCTGGGGCTCAATTTTCTATTTTGAAAAATGGTAGGCTTGGACCAGCCACTCTAGAAGGTCTCTTACAGTATTGATATTCTAAGATGCTGGGACTTCCTGAGACATCAAATGTACAGTCAAGATTCTGTGAGATGTTGTTACTATTTGTTGTTATAGTTGGGAGATCTGAGAGACCTGGCTTTGGCAAGCTCAGATATCATTCCATATCACCTTACCCAATGAAAGAGCCTCATTTTTTTAATAATAAATTTATTTTTTATTGGTGTTCAATTTGCCAACATACAGAAAAACACCCAGTGCCCTTCCTCAACATTTGTTAGCAGTTACTCTCCTGATGTAGCACTCAAGCTCCACTTAGTTTATTATTTCCTAGTTCACTTCGCACACATTTGCATCCATGCATATGGAAGAGGCATCCGTAAGAAGTAGCTGAAATATATATTCTGTATTCGTGTGTTAACATTGAGAATAAGCCTTGGAATTAGAAATGGGGCAAATGACTGAGCCTTGTCTCACCCATGGATTACCCTTTAGTGAAGGGGATGGAAGTGCAGTAGAGGGATGGTAGTACAATAGAGGGTTGAGTCCAAGAAGTTTCAAACCTAACTATACCCTTTGGCTACTGAGACAAGAGTCTATTAGAGTAGTAGTTGGACATTTTATTTAGATAAGATGGTTTATATAAAGAAACTATATCAAAAGAGGAAGAACATATATTTATAAGATTAAAAAAATCAGTAGGACTCTTGTCTGAGCTTCTGGAACGAGGCTTCTAGGTTTTAAAAGACCAATACTCTTTGTATATGGGGAGAACCTGTTCACGAGATAGCAAAGAAAAGTCAGTTTTGGCATCACATGGGGTGAACATCTAAATAGTATTTTGGCATCAGCACAGCCCCAAAAGGTTATTATTCATGCTCAGCTCCTCTGGAAATAATTTATGTTCAATCTCAGGGTCTGTGGACAGTAATGGGAAGCTCTGAACGTTCCTGACAAGTTGTCCCATAAGGAGTCAGTTCTTTACCTCTCAGATATTCTTAGACCATCCATGACTTCAAGATACTTTTCTTTGTTAAGTATTCCTGGTTGAAATGACTTAAGTGCCTTCCTGACTTCCCAGCCACCCCCCTGTTTGAGTTGTGCAACAGTGAATTAAATGTGTTTTCCAAATTGACCTAAGCTTGCCCAGTTCTTCCTGTGTTGTTCTTTCTGTTTTCTTTGGGTGAAAAGAGTAAGTGTAGTTGCCTCAAAAATGATTATTTTAGAACAAGCATGTTTCCAAATGTAACCAAATGATGACTGCTACAGGAACTGAAGTTTGCTCAGAGCCCAGAGTTTTTCTTAGACTTTAAAACATTTTCAAAATAAATACGTTATTACAGTTCTAAGAGTTAGAGTTGTTTTGCTTTTTAATTGGGGATATTTTTTGGAACTTGTGCGATCTCAATAGAACAGACTGTCAATTCAGCCTAGGTTTTGTTTGCAGGAGGCATACATTGGTACAGTAAAGGCTTAAGGGCAGATGATTTACACTCAACTTTTATATAAGGAATTGGGTCTCAGACCGTCGGTCTCAAGGACCAGCAGCCTCTGTATCATCTGGGAAGTTGTTAGTAATATAAATGCACAGGCCACACCCCAGAACTACTAACCCAGAAAATCTGGGAGTGGGGCTCAGTGTTCTCTCTCAGTAAGCCCTTCCAGTGATTCTGTTGCATACATAAGGAGTCACATACCCATACTTCTGGCTTAATAAGTTTTCAGTAAGTCAGTTCAGTTATTAAAAGATCATGAACATAGCTTGACTGATAGATTAAGAAAACCAAGTATCTACCCGCATAACATGAAGATTTACTTTTGACCCATTTTCCAGGTTAAGTGATCAAAGGCTCCTTGGGTTCACGCACAGCCACAAATTCCCATGAAAAACTAAAAGAAGTAATAGATCAAAATCAGAGGAATAAAAAAAAAAAAAAAACAACCAACAGGATCCTTGGCAGGCATCTAAGAAGACTTTTATTCACAGGGGATGGGATCAATACCTTCATTTTTAGTGTTATCATTCTATAGGATAAGACTTTAGAATTTGTAACTTTGGGCCACCTGGGTGGCTCAGTGGTTGAGTGGCTGTCTTTGGCTCAGGTTGTGATCCCAGGGTCCTGGGATCAAGTCCCGCATAAGGCTTCTTGCAGGAAGCCTGTTTCTCCCTTTGCCTGTGTTTCTGCCCCTCTTTGCCTCTCTCTGTGTCTCTCATGAATAAACAGGTAAAATCTTAAAAAAAAAAAAGAATTTTTAACTTGACTTTGCTATTTAAAATGTATTGAGCATCAACAGTACAGGATTGAAGTACACTCAAAATCTTTGCCTTTGAATCTTGCATTCCTTATGTAACATACATTTTAAAAAACACATTACATGACATCATAAAAAAGATTATGTGAACATACACTGAGTCCTTTTATGGTGAAATTTTGTAAGACTCACTATATTTACATTATGGTAACTGATGACTAAATGTCTGGATGAAAATGGAGGACTTTCTGTGAAAATGAAATGAAAAGCTACATGTCAAATCACATTGGTAATCCCCCAACTCTTGACCTCTGCAGTCTGAACTACTACTACTATAGTAGTAGCCATCTAATGACCACTGGGACAAATTATAAGCAGATTGTCTTGGAATTATACGGCACTCATTTTTCACATTGATGTAAAGAAACAATAATATGCACTTTTCAAGGAAGCCATTTAATACTTATTGAAAAATAATTTCTATTTGGTTTTGTAATTTATTTCTGGAAATGCATTTCTAATTTTTTGTAGTTTGATTAAATTATACAAGGAGGTAGTCTTAAATGCTTGTGGTTGGGGTTAACTATATTGTTAAATAAAATTTTAAAAGTCCACTTACCATTACTCCTAACATTTACTTAGCATGTGAGAAGAAAATTGTCTGTCAGGAACATGATTGTGTTCCTTACAACTGCTGTCATAGTGAGGTCTCTCCAGTATCTTGCAGAGAGGAAACATTTTCCATCAGCTGTGTATCTTCTGACAATACATCAAAGAATGCTCACAGAATATAAGTATCTAGAAATTAACATATAGGAAGTTTAAGAGTCTTTAAGCAAAAATCTCCATAGTAAATTATTCTTCATCAGTACCCCTGAAACGAACTTTGTAAGAAAAAAAAATTCACCATTCATTGTGTTTTATATAACGTATTAGTTGGGTTTTCCTATGACTCATACACAATTGGCATGATTCTTTGGAGAGATCAGAGTGCTGGGTGTGTAAACATCATTCGGTGGCCAATGAAAATACCTCATTAAGAAAAAGGACGTTGATGGACATATGCTAGACTTTGCTTTTCCCGACCTTTATAATCACCCATTGTGACAGAGGTTGCTAATTGTGCCCCCATATCTGTTTTCACTTCTCACATATTATTAGAACTTCTAATTTTCAGTTAGACATATGGCTGCCCAGAATAAATACTGTTTCTCAGCTTCTCTTGCAGCTAGGTGTGCCATGTCTATCTCATAGACAGTGAGATGTAAATGGAAGAGGTGCATACAACTTCCAGTAAGTGCCACTTAAGGGAAGGAGCATGCCTTTCTCCTCCCTTTCCTTTTTCAGGAAGGCTGGAATGTAGAGATAATAGCTAGAATTTAAGCAGACATTATGGATCAAGATGTGACCTAAGGAATTGTAGTAGTTTTTTTTTTTTTTTTTTTTTTTTTTGCTACATAACAAATTACCCGACAGTTTAGCAGCTTAAAACAATAAACACCATCTCACAGTTTCTGTGGCATGTCATCTGGCTTCTCCCCAAGTGAGTAATCCAACAGACAGCAAGGAGGAAGCTGTAATGTCTTTTATGACTTAATTTTAAGTTTAATAAATTATAATAATTATTTATTTATTATTTTTAAAGATTTTATTTATTCAGGGAGAGAGAGAGAGAGGCAGAGTCACAGGCAGAGGGAGAAGCAGGCTCCATGCAGGGAGCCCGATGTGGGACTTAATCCCGGGTCTCCAGGATCACACCCTGGGCTGCAGGCCGCTCTAAACTGCTGTGCCACCGGGGCTTCCCTATAACTTAATTTTTAAAAAAGATATATTTGTTTGAGAGAGATCAGGGGAGAGGGGCAGGAGAAAGGGGTAAAGAGAGTCTTAAGCAGACTCCAGGCAGAGGGCAGAACCCAATATGGAGCTTGATCTCATGACCCTGAGATCATAACCTAAGCTGAAACCAAGAGGCGGGCATTTAACCAACTACACCACCCAGGCACCCCTATGACTTAATTTTTGTTTTGTTTTAAAGATTTATTTATTTGAGAGAGAGAAAGAGTATGAGCAGAGGGAAGAGCAGAAGGAGACAGAGAATCTCAAACAGACTTCCCACTGAGCATGGGAGCCAGATACAGGGCTTGGTCTCAGAACTCTGAGATCATGACCTGATCTGAAATTGACAGTTGGACACCCAGCCGGCTGAGCCACCCAGGTGCCCCATGACTTAGTTTTGTAAATTATCACAATCCTGAAGTGTCATATCATCACTTGTGCCATACTCTATTCATTATAAGTAGCTCACTACATCTAGCCCATATTCCACATTCAAGAAGAGTGGACTAGATGCCACTTCTTGAAGAGATGAGCATTGTGGTAGATAGAATCATTGCCCAAGGTATCCATGTTCTGGTCCCTAGAACCAGTGAATATGTTACCTTGCATGGAATAAAGGATTTTGTTGATATAATTAAGAATAGAAACAGGGGAATTTCATAGATTATTTGGGTAGTCTTAATATCATAAGAGTTTTTATAAGAGGAAGGTAAGAGGGTCAGAGTGAGAGTAGGAAATGTAATGATGGGAACAGGTCGGAGTGAGGTGGCCATGAGTAAAGGAATGCAGATAGCCCCTAGAAGCTGGGAAAAGTAAGAATACGTTTTCCTTTAGAGTCTTCAGGAATGCAGCCTTTATTTTTAGCTCTGCAAGACCAATTTTGGACTTCAGACCTCCAGAAATGTAAGATAGTAAATTTTTTAAGCCACTAAGCTTGTGATAATTTGTTATAGTGACAGGAATAAACTAATACATGAAAGAATTTGCGGACATATTTTAAAACTGCCACAGTCCACCCTCTGGTCACAAATTATAGTCCTCCCACATGCAAAATGCACTTATCTCTCCCAAGGCCCCAGAGTCGTATGCCATTCTAGCATTCATTCAAAGTTCAGTCTTGTCCACTACATTAGGTCCTGGGGCAGATGAAACTTCTTGGATATAGATCCTTTTTTTTTTTTTTTAGTTCCTTATATTCATCCATGTGAATATGTACCTCTCTATTTGAAGCCCTACAGAAAAAAAAGCTATATGCTTCCTTCCTACAACAACCAATGTAAAAGATAAGGTAACTGCTACAGACACTCCCATTCTAACAGGCAGAAAACAGGAGGTTCGCAGAAGCCCCCAGACCATAGCAATTCTTAAATTCACTGGGTATAGATTCACAGTTCCATATTCAAGGCCTGGGAATAATTCTCCACGGATTTTCGTTCTACTCTCTAGGCTCTTGGTTTTACCCTGTAAGTCATCTTTTTCCCATTAAAGGTAGCATATGTTTACATGTAAATGGTTTTCTCAACCTGCTGCCTGCTAATAGAATTGAGGGTCCAAAGGAAAACTTTTTGTACTCTGACTCAGCCCAAGCTGGCAGTGTTTCTTTTTTTTTTTTTTTTAAGATTTATTTATTTATTTATGATAGACATAGAGAGAAAAAGAGAGGCAGAGACACAGGAGGAGGGAGAAGCAGGCTCCATGCCAGGAGCCCGACACGGAACTCGATCCCTGGACTCCAGGATCACGCCCTGGGCCAAAGGCAGGCGCTAAACCCCTGAGCCACCCAGGGATCCCTGCTGGCAGTGTTTCTGATAATACAGTAGTCTTTAAAAAAAAATTGTGAATCTCCTGTGAATCTTTTTGAGTTTCAGACCATGAGATAAAAGCCCTATTGATAAATATCTGTGAGCTAAATCTTTTTGTACCTTCTGCAAAAGCCTTAAGATTCTTAGAGGTCATATTATTTGAATGAGACTATCCAAGACTCATAACCTTTTCTTTTTTTAAGATTTATTTATTTATTCATGAGAGAGAGGCAGAGACATAGGC